ACCATCCTCGTCCCGAATCTATTTTCGATGCAAGCGTTTAGGAAACAGTTCGGTGGTTTGCAGGCGAATGGACAGTACGAAATCAGCGCTGACTGGCAGAGCGCACTCGTGAATGGTGGCTTGGCGGGGCAGATTGTAGGGCTCTTTGCTACAGGAACACTAGCAGAGCGTATCGGGTACCGCTACACGCTCATGGTAGGATTGGTGGCGATGAGCCTGTTTATACTTGTACCTTTCTTTGCCACAAGTAAGGAGGTTCTATTGATAGGACAGTGTCTACTAGGCATGCCCTGGGGTATGTTTCAGTGCATATGTACTGCATATGCTGCAGATGTCTGCCCAGTGGCCTTGAGGGCTTATCTGACAACGTGAGTATCAGCTGGACCCCACCTTTCGAGATTTGGCGACCATGAGAATTCGGTCGCTAACAACTTCAAGTTATGTCAACGCATGCTGGGTACTCGGCCAACTGATAGCATCTGTCGTTATGCGCGGCATGATTGACAATACTACAACATGGTCTTACCGCATACCCTTCGGCCTCCAGTGGATATTTCCAATCCCAATATTCTTCGCCGTCTGCTCTGCGCCTGAATCACCTTGGTGGCTCATCCGTCAAAATCGCCTTGAGGATGCGAGAGCGACTCTGCGCCGACTGCGCACAAAACCAGCAACGAGTTCGGACGACGAGTTTGAGATAACACTGACCGGCGCCATGGAGACGATGATACAGACAAACAAGAGAGAAGAACAGATGCAAAGTGGCACAAGTTACAAAGACTGCTTCAAAGGGGTGGATAAGCGTAGGACCGAGATAACGTGCATGGTCTGGATCATCCAGACACTGTGTGGTGGTACATTCATGGGGTTTTCTACGTACTTCTGTAAGGCACTCAACCTATATACAAAACTACCCGGCTTCTGTTTGCTGACTATTCTTAGACGAACAAGCTGGCCTTGGCTCCACCCACGCTTTCACTCTCTCACTGGGCCAATTCGCTCTCGGCCTCATTGGCGTTTTTATTTCCTGGGCACTAATGGCACACTTCGGGCGGCGTACACTATATCTATCCGGTCAAGCGATAACATTCATCTTCGTGCTGCTCATTGGTGTCCTATCCTGCGTGAACGACTTTGTCGCCGCCCACTCAAAAACGAAAAAGGATCCCTCAGAGATCATCGACCCTCATCCTTCACCGCTAAACTGGACCATTGCAGCACTACTACTGGCCTTCACACTGGCATACGATGCGACTCTTGGCCCCATCTGCTACTCACTCGTTTCTGAGATCCCGTCTACACGACTCAGGAGCAAAACAATCGTCCTAGCGCGAAACTGCTACAACATCTCTGGTATCATCACGAACATTATCACTCCACGCATGTTGAATCCGACAGCGTGGGGCTGGGGCGCCAAAGCCGGCTTCTTCTGGGCAGGCACAAGCGTACTCGGTATCTTGTGGAGCTGGTGGCGGCTTCCTGAACCCAAGGGTCGGACTTTTGGAGAGCTCGATGAGCTGTTTGAGAAGAGGGTATGCGCACGGAAATTCAAAAGTACGGATTTCGCGATTGCCGGATTACACGCTACAGAAGGAGAAAAGAACAGGGTGTAGAGAGAATGCCCAGTACAAGCCAGATGGAAGAGAGCCAGGAACACACGATTTGACGATTCTACGAATGTTTTTGTTTTCGTTAATTAACTGCCAGAGCTTATAAAGCCGCAATCAGAGTTATGTTACCACCACCCATATCAGGAAATTGGGTTCATTTTACATGTATAGTTTGATTGCAACCCTCACAAAGATATGAATACATTTTCAGTAAGCACCTCTTCATGTGCATATAGCTACGAAATTCTCGACTTTGCCTCCACCAGCCCCGGCCTTGCCTTATGGCGATGAGAGTGCCAATAATGCTCACCAATTTTCTTCTTACATCCTCAGCAGCCTCCGATAAGCCCAGTCTCCCAGCTCGCTCTATCACACTTTGTATAACGGATGATCGGGTATGTCGAATTGTACCTGAATAGATCATTCCAGCATCACCGTGCACTGCCATATCCGGAATAAAGTCGTAGGGAAGAAAGACGGCAATCTCTTGCCTGACGGAGGCGATATCCAAAGCTCGTAGGGGAGTTCATCTTTCTTCGGAAGATTCTAGCATGACCTGCCGTCTCCATCTTTCCAAATAAGCAATATCTCGCCGCCCCACCTCTGTCCATTCTGCTACTTCCCTTTCTTCCTTCCTCTTCTTCCTCTCCTCAGTATCTCTCACAACTTTCTCTCCCAGATCTGCGATCATGTTTTCCATGTCTGCTACCACCGTTCTTCCTTGTGGATACCTTTTCTTCACCTCATCCAGCAATGTGAACATCTGAACAAAGAGATCCGGAAGTTCTTGAAGCTCCTTCGATATCTCTTCTGGCTTCGTGGGGAAGAAGTCTTTGCGGCATAGTGGGCAGGTACTTGCTCTGTCGAACCAAGATTCGATGCAGGATGCGCCGAAGACGTGAGAGCACAATGGCATCTGTAGAGCGTGGTGTGCTGATCCCATGAAAGTCAGGGTACAGGGCTCTGTACAGATCGAGCAAGATGGAAGGGGTTCGTCTTTGGATGTGCAAAGGCGAGGTTTTCTGGTATGGAGGTGAGTCTTACTGAAAGTTTCGCGCGTGTTGCAAAGTGGTGCCATTTTGAATAGTTGTGCAAAAGTACGTCGGTGAATATTCTCAAAAATTGTTGCAGGTACTTGCGGCGACTTGAAGGGGTAAGAGGACATGGCTTGTTCGACATTTTGTATCTCCTGGCCATATTCGTCCCATGGTTTGGACAGCATAGACTGATGGTCCAAGCTACTTATGTTCGCAATGAATTTTATTTGGGGACGTAGTTTTTGCGCCAAAACTTCAAGTTGCGAGCGATGTAACTGGCTTGTCTGCTGTGCGTCATCTTACTACCAATGGATGAAGTGGATCAATGATCCAAAGTTGGCTTTTCTTTATTTTGCCACTCCATTTCCAGACCAGCCCTACAACGCGCAGCTAATACATCAAAGCAACCAACGCACCTCTACCCAACAACCCTTCCAAAACCAAAGCCTCTAACCCCATTACTAACCCACACTCCCTCCCCAACCTCGACCGTTTCAATTCCCACCGGCTCCTCCATACAATACCCACTCCCCAACGCCCACCTTCGACTCGTTCCCCTCTGCCCACCCGCCCCGACCTTCGCACTCCTTGTACTATGCCCCCAACGCCCCGCAAATGGCTTCCTCAACTCCCCCTCATCAGCCCCGTCATTCTTCAAGGTCTTACTCGTAAACTCGCCAGATGGCACGCCAACAGGTGGTGTCACCCATCGTCCGCCACGGAAGAGGTAGAGAGATGTCAGTGTGCCTTCTGTAAGTTCGTTGACTTCGTTGTAGAGCATTACTTCGCGATAGGCCGGGCCGGCGGGGTTATCAGGTAAGGCACGTTGACGAGATTGATCGTACATTTCGCGCTTTGTAGTCTTCAATAATGTGAACGGTGAGGAAGGTGTTGGCTCTGTATCCAGCTTGATCTTCCATTCTGGTGGAGCAGGTGGTGTTGATGTGGCGGCTGGAAGGGTGTCTGAGGGTCCGAGATTGAGGGCGCCGCCTGTCAAGGGAGAGGGCTTAAAGGTGTCGGCAGGGTGTTGTTGGGTTCCTGATTTTGGTGGATCTAATGATGGGGGGTATAGTGTGGAGAGTGGTACAGCGGGTATGGGAGTGAACTCCACAGTCAGGTTGGCGGCTTTGTCGAACAGAAGTCGAAGCTACATAATCTTAGTCCTATCGCATAATGTCTTGGTGCTATCTATACCTTCATTGCTTCATCCTTTCCTGTCTTCCTGATCTCTTCTTGTACCTGTCTGGATAGTTCGTCGTGTAAAGCTTTCCCATCTTTAAGTCGTTTTTCGACCTCGAAGAAATCAAAGTGCTGGGCGGCTTCAACCATGCGATCTCGGTGATACGCAAGCATATAAAAAGGCGAAGGTGTTACGAAGTTCAAGATCGTCCTTGAGTTCTCGTCTGATCTGAGAAGCAACGGATCATATCGCAAGGATGTGAAGAGCTGGAACTCGTTATTTTCGGAATCCATGATGCGTGACTGGTGAGGGGAATGATTCTTTGTCAATGTTACGACGCTGCCCAGATGGTGGACCCAGTTTGGAAATAGAGTTTGATTTGGATACCCGAACTTGATATACACTTGCCCTGGATATGGTACTTTGGATGTAGGACAGATGTGCTGTCATCGATGGTGGGTCATGCAATCGATCAACCAATCCTTTGTGGGCGGAGGCTGACCCGCATTCGACGCCGAAGCTAGCTCATTGGTTGACTCAGCTACTTCACAGCAGCATGTATTGTGTACTTCATATTCATGCTTGCCACGAGTAGCTTCTTCTAGTGTCTATTCAGTCGAAGTGTCTACAAAAGATCATATTGTTTCTAGATGGCTGTGTTTAGAAATGATCTAGGTATACGAGCAGGCATGCTGAACTTTGATCGTCCATATCGAAAACAACTCATTAGCACACCCAAGATACCCAATTACACAGAACAGGAGCCAGAGAGAAGCCGACGACTAGTAACCATTGGCCCGGTGGAGACTCCGCTGCAATCCACGAAGGAGTGTTAACTACTAGAAAAGGGAATCGAGTATCTGTATGGAAGGTGTGTTTCGGGACTTTGTACCGAAACCGTTGTGAGAGACAGGTTTGAGGAGGGGTGATGTTAGGCAGATATTGCGCTGATTTAGGTCAAGGTGCAACGCTACTTTATGGATCTGGGCGCTGTGTATCCATAGGACGCTTGACCTCCTTTCTTCTCAACGCACAAAATACTGTTGCAGGCCCGTATAGAGGTTGGGATGGCGATAAACGATACATGACTACATACGCCAAGGCATTGTCGATTCGCAAGATCATCCCGGCCCTCACCGATCAACGCGACAGACTATGGATGCTAGCTGTACCCTACAAGTTCAATCGGAGTGCAGAACCAGTCGTCACCTCTGGCGTGACTTAACGATAGGTCTTTGTGTCCGATGCGAAGATGGCTGTGCAGATGCAGCAAGTGGATTGTAGACTGACCGACCCTTGGTTGACCTCTCTGATGCATACTCGCGTGGCACGTCTTTGGTTGCAGCATGTGGATTGTAGAATGGCCGATTCGTAGCAGATTCGAGAGCATCAATGACAGCCCCAGCCTCTGCACGTATGTCTACGTATTTGGCAGGGATCAGAGGGGGTTGTACATGTAATCTCAAGGTTCCCTTCAGATCTAGTGTCCGACCTGCACCTACTCTGGCCATCAAATCTGCCCGTTGCGGCACAATCTTGGGTTTGGCGAACTTGCCAGTCTCGTCGTATCCGCGGGCCTTGAGTTCGTCGACTACAGCATTGCGTAGCCGCCGTCTAGCCCATGTTCTTATACAACTAGACTTGGCCGAGTCAGCGCCCGCTGTGGCATGCCACCATAGTCCCTCCTTCTTCTTCTCGGCTTGTCTGCGACGCTGCGTCTCGTAGAGGGGATGCGCGGGGTCGGTTGCAACGTGGTTGGTGAAGAGGCTTTTGTACACTGTGGTGTAGTAGACTCTGAACGTCTTGGGCGGCTGCTTGGCGACGTGTGACAAGACACTCATGGCTTTCCCATGCCTCGTATGCACGGTGACGTAGGGTGAAAGAAAGACAGGTGGGGGTGAAACTGGAAGCACTCGAACTGCAGATGGATTAATTCGGGTGAGCGACGACGTGCTAGGCCACACCGGGACTAGGGTGCGGTGTTAGCGCTTAATGTCGAAGGCTCCCACAGTGAGTCGGAATCCACCTGTGCAAACAACCGGGTCCGCCACTACATAAAGACTTGCGCCCTGCGAAGCTCCTACCGCAATCACAACCCACTCCTCCACCAACACACCACCAAACTTCAACTACCGCTAATATGCCCAAGAACAAGGGAAAGGTATGTCAACACTCTATTTGGAGGGGGCGACACACCCCACCACGACTCTCACCGCGATGACGCCCAAACCTCAACACGCGCTAACGTATATCTCAGGGAGGTAAAAACCGACGTAGGGGTAAGAACGAGAACGACAACGAAAAGCGCGAACTCGTCTTCAAGGAGGAAGGCCAAGAATACGCCCAAGTCGTCAAGATGCTTGGAAACGGTCGTCTAGAAGCCCAGTGCTTCGACGGCGCCCGTCGTCTCGCCCATATCCGCGGCAAGCTGAGGAAGAAGGTCTGGATCAACCAGGGCGACATCATTCTCCTGTCGCTGCGAGACTACCAAGACGAGAAGGGTGATGTGATCATGAAGTACTCTGGTAAGTCGCATACTACACACGCAGCAAACACTGCGAGATACGGCTACTAACACGCGCACAGCCGACGAAGCCCGTTCATTAAAAGCCTACGGCGAGCTCCCGGAAAACGCAAAGATCAACGAGACAGACACCTACGGCGACCAAGGCGACGAGGGTATCGGTTTCGAGTTCGACGAGGATCGCGACGACAGCGACTCGGACGAGGCCGACGGTACCGGCAAGAAGGAGATTGACATTGACGACATTTGAGGGGGAGGGGTTGAGATCCGCCATGCTGTCTCGGCTCTTGCTTCGCGGCTGCTGCTTTGCTGTGGCGGGGGCCGGGCTGCTCAAATGCTGCTTCTTGCGAGCGGGCGGATGGTTCGAGTGGTGCCGAGGAATACACGATATCATGCTTCTTCGAGTATGATGTTAACGACGAGTGCATTTGGCACGTTTCCTTTTCCACGATTATGGGTACTGGGTACCTTGTTACATGCATCATGGGATAGAGGAATGATACATCCATAATCTTTGTCCAAATTCCTATTTGCCAACATCTTCGTCCCAGAGTCTATACTACCCGACAAGCTAACTAAAGTTCTGCCACTGAACTTCTTCATACACGGAGCGATTCAAGAACCTATGGATCCTCCTCCCAACATCCGTCCCGACCAACCAACAAATTTCCCTCTCCTGCATATTTGCCACCTCATAGATACTCTCACTCTTAAGCATCAGTTGCGAAACCGCATTCTCATTGATCCCTGGCAGCGCCCTCAACATATCCTGACTCGTCTGGTTAAAGCTGCGCATCTCGTCTCCACTTTGATTCGGATCGAGACCCAATTGCACCGCCTTCAACGGATCAGGCTCGTCTTGCGCCTTCTTCAGCTCAGAGAAGATCTCGGCCGTCTGGTAAGGGCTGCTACTCCATATTATCCTCAAGCGGGGGAAGGCGAGCGTTAACATGACGAGTTTGGATTGGAGATCGGGTGTCGTCGCCGACGCGTTGGCAGAAGCAGCGCTACCAGCTGAGAAATCAGTAAAAGGTTCGAGAGTAAAAGACTTGTTTTGGTCAAACTCGATGAGCAGCATGGGATGTTTGTAGTGTTCCATCATGGACTCCACTTGGTTGAAGAGACGGCCGTTGGCAAACGATTGGATGAGATCGCGGATGGATTTCCGCTCGATACAGATTTGGGGTGTGAGGACGTAGTCGCCTACTGTTAACATGCAGGGCACGATGACAATAGATCGGCCGTGTAGCAGAGATGGGAGTGAGGACCGGAATTCTCGCACGTCGACGACGACACGGGGAGGTTCGGTGGTTGCGGCGAGACGGCCTCCTCCTGCTATCCTGGTGTTGATCGTGCGGAGGAAGGACTCTTCTGGAGCGAGGTTCGCAGTCGAGTTCATTGTTAAAGCCATGTTTGCACGTTCTTTGATCAGCCGCGTAAAGGCGTCTTTCTCGCGACGGACGGCAGAGAGATAGCGTTGTTCTTCTACACTGCCCCCATAGTACATGAAAAAGACTTTTACCGTTCGGTCTGTATGCGATGACCGATGTACTTCTATGCGTCGGATAAATGCTGCGTCGGGCTCATACATGATGACGTATCGCGGCTTCGTCTCGTCCAAAATGTGTTCATCCAGATCCCCAGAGTAAGGATGTACGATAATCAGGTCGTTCACATCAAAGAGTTCATAGTAGGTTTCCATGTTGTCCAGGGGGTCGAAACCTACTTCGCCAGGCTTTTGTGCTGTTTCAATCTCAGAGGGTTCCAATTCAGCCATTAGACTAGCAATGTGGGCGTCTTTATCTCCCGCAGTACGGATGGCTCCCGTATCGGATCTCGATGGTCCTGCTGCAGCATTTCCACCGCCTCTGATGCGGCGCCGCTTGTTAGGCGGAGGTTTACCGGAAGTCTGGCGCATGCCACTCTGAACATTCTTATCTGTACTGCCGTTGATGGCTTTCTGGTTCTCCGAGAACAACGCGGCACTGACTTTACTGAAATCGCGTTTCCAAGTAAGGTAGTTGCGTAGCTTACGCCGCATCATAAAGTTCGCCGATGGCTCGTATTCGTTCTCGTCCTCGTCTGGTGAACCCTCTGGCTTAACGTACATGGTCTGCAGATACTCTCTTAGCTGTGATGCTGTGCCCTGGTCGCCGCACATGATGAGTATAGAGCCGTTGGATGAGTCTTGCGGCGTTGGGTTAAAGTAAGCATCCTGTTCAATCTCCTGAAGAATTTCTGCGAGCTGCGTCCACTTGGGAAATTCTTCGAGCACTGGCTGGAGAGACTCTGGTACAGTAGTCGAAGCATTGGCTAACTCAGTATTGGACACCTTGCCTGTGTATACCCTTCGCTTTGCGGTGGTGAAGATGGTGTCAGCTGCATCTAGGAAAAGCCATGGAGATTGATTTTGCTTCGTTGATCCCGGTGGTGGCTGCGAGGCTGCCAGAACAGTGTCGAGATACTTGTTGAAATTTACCGCATCATACGTAAGAAGCGCGTGCAGAATGGTACGAAGCAGCGACAAATCTCGGACGACCTGTCGCGTCTTGTACGTTGTGCGATGCCAGACGGGATCTAGTTGACGTCGGATAATCTGATCGAAGTTCTTGTGTAAGGCACTGTCTACGTTCCAGTCTTCCACTTCCAAGCCTGGGTTCGCTTTCTTGAGCTCGCTGATACTGGCCTCAACGCAGGCTAGTACCGCGTTCTGTATGTCCTGCATAGCTTCCGTCATGGGCACTTCCAGCTCAATAACTTCAGCTTTCTTACGTCCTTCGAGCGAGTTTGCGACTGCAACGTGGAATCTCGGGTATAACGCTGGTTTCGTCAAGAACAGGTTCTTCATCATGTTGGTGAGCGGAGCGAATCCAGTAGTGAAGGGCTCCGGCGTATCCGAGAATGCTTTCAAGAAGCCTGCCTTGTTCTTCTGCCGATAGATCCTCAGAATGAAGGCTTCCAGAGATGTCGCAACAACTCTTTCAGCATGTAGTACCACCACACCCGTCACCGTCTCTGGATTCAGCAGCCCAGACAGGAAGTCTACAATGAGTATGCGTGACGTTATACTGAATATCCCGCCCTGCGCATACATCTTCTCGCGCGTTCCAACGCTCATCAGATCGGTATTGACTAGACTCAGCCCACGACACTTGGGCGCATTACTGACTGCCGCATGCTCGGCCAACGCCTCACCAATCCACACATTCTCGCGATCGTCGGCGCCAACGAGTAGTATCAGGTTGTTTCCGGCGGCATCGTAGGAGTGGAGAAGGTTGGTGACTATGCGCAAGAGGCCGAGGCCGCGCGCAAGGAGAACGAGCTCATCTTCCTCGCGCAGTTCATTGAAGATGTCCTGTTGGAACTCCTATGATGTCATCAGCACGCTGTACGCAAATGTTATAGGTTGAGCATACGAGAGGCAACGAGAGCTTCACGGGGGCTTGCGCATCGCTGGGCATTGGGTCTTGCTCCGACGGTCGTGGTGGGGCGAGATGGAGGTTTGGGGTAGATGCGCGTTCCAAGCTTCGCGAAACCCACTCCAGGTCACGAGATCGACGCCTCGCTATAGCACTGAAATTCCATCACGTAACGTCACTCCATAAACAACATATTTCACCACTAATATCCCGAAAACAAAACATTGATGTGTTAGCCTGTCTCGGATTTCAGTGAATCCCAGACCTTGTTTGGAAGCGTAGATTCGTGATACAGATAAATATACAATGGCGAAATGAAAGTCGTCTGGCGTTGACCGGCTACTTCGCGCTCTCTCTGATCTCTGCTTGCCTTCTCCGGCTTTCAGCAGCATATGCGTCCCGTTCCTCTCTGCGGAGCTGCTGTTCCGCCTCTGACCTCTTCGCATCCATTTCCTTCTGTGCAGCCCAGACTAATTCCGTTAGCGCGATCCTGGTGATGACTGCAGAAGAAATACTGACTTGGTTTGTCTGAACGCGAAGCCTCCTTCAATTGACCAACAAATGCGTCAAAGTCCTTCTGTCTCTGCTCCCTTCCTGCAAGAGCCTTCTTCTGCAGCTCCGGACTATACCTCTACACGGGATATAAGCAGCTATTTGGCGTATGCACGTGGCAAAGTATACATACCTTGAAGATTTCTTCCTCGGTTGGTGTAACATACCATACGAGCGCAGGGCCCCCTATGACAAGGATTGCGCCTCTAAGTTTAACATTAGCACACTCCCGTAGGCCTTCGTAAGGCAAACATACCCGGAGATGGCTTTGATATAGGTTGACATAGAAGGCATGATGACTTCTTGGTGATGTTCAGAATCTCTCTGAAGGTATCTTGTAAGTTCCCGTTGTAGTTGTGGCCTTTGTATCAGAGTATCGGGGTTGTTGGTGGAGTCTTGTGCAGCTAGAGTGGTGAAGTCGACGATCCACACAAGTGCCATGGATTGTTCATCGAACGAAGCTAGCTCGACGCGCCGGGAATCACGTGTGCTTGCACCGCCACTGTGGCTGCATCATCCGGCAGTGGGTCTCAAGTGCTTGCAGGCGGCGAACGCTTACCCGAGGCTGAGGGCCAGCGATCAGCATCGTCGTCTGCGCGTTCATTGGTAGGCTGTTCTTGGACTGCATGATGTGTATGATCTCCAGCGGCTCTGCGACTTGGTCCGTATAGGGACTGCGTGACACAGACTAATTGGGTTGTTTTGCGCAGGGCTGATACTGATCATCACGTCGATTTCCCTGTCACTCTAGCTGACGGTGTTACTCAGGTGTCATTCGCAAATGCCTCATTTAATCTACTCGCATGCGAATGCAATTTAACAACGACGATTCGCCTGCTCGGGAATCCCAGTCGTCCTGGGTTCGCGTTTCAAAGCCGAAGGAAGCTAAAGCGGGACCTTTTCTTATTCATTTCCTGGGTTGCACCAGCGCTGGGTGGCAGACTGGGTTGAAACGCAAGATCGAACTAATTAGAGGTCACCCCGTGTTTGAGGACGGCAGCGGCAGCCCCCAATTGGCGTTGCTTTGTAGAGCATGTGCAAGTGAGGATTCTACTATTGACATTCTTCCTTCAACACCTCGACTTTCACCTTTGTAAGGTCTTCCTGGTTCTTGGTGGCCATATGACCGTTCTTTGAGTTTGTACTACCCCTGTCAACTTTGCAAGCAACACACAGCCCGGTTCACAGCCAGCTCGGCCAACGGCAAACCCACGTCGACTACCAGCTTACGCTACGTACAAGCCTAACGAGCTCCGGCTCTAGAGAGATTGCACCCCAGGTGCCTTTAAGAGCTGCAGCCCCGCCGGTCGGACGCGATCACCATCGCTCACTAGCCTCTTCACAGACAGCCTCGGGTTAGGCTTCTCCGATAACGCCGCCGTCATGGCGCATCGACAACAACACGACAATTACGCGCAGCCGCAGCAGCAATATTACGACCAAGGAAGACCACAGCAAAGACAGCAGCAGCAATACCAGAATTACGACAACCACTATGACCAGCAACAATACTACGACTACGACTACGGCTATGACCAGGGCGGCAATGAGCAATGGAATAATGGCCATTATGACCAGCAGCAAGGAGGGTGGGGCAATGCGCAGCAGCAAGGAGGCTACCAAGATGTGAATGGGTACTCGAGATCAGCACAGCCAAATCAGGGCCGCAGACACCCGCCGCAAGACCAGTATTACCAGGAAGAAGCGTACAATGAGCCCTACTATCAGCAACCACCACCCCAACAAGGTCAAGGACGAAGACCACCGCCTCAGAGCCAGCGTCCTCCGCAGCAGCGACAGGATTCGCGAAGCCGACCAACAGGTCGAGGAAATGAACCGCCGTCCAACCCACAACAAGGACGTAGTGCGTCGAGACCACCAGGTATGTCCCCAAGTCCTGATCTTTCCACGTGGCGAGGACGGCATATTACACGTCTACATGACAACATCGCGTACTAATTACTGTCAACAGGCCTGGATCGTTCACTCTTTCAACCAACATCACCCAAGACTCTTGCTTATGACAACCCCTTTCCGACTTTCCCAACGCAGAAGTCGCAGCAAGGTGGCTCGAAACCTCTCGACCAGAGCATGGCACAAATGAACATCAAGGATAGCGGAGGACAAGCGAAGCCCGCGGGCTCATCTGGGCGAGGACAACACATGCCGCCTCAGAATCGAGGCCCACCACAGCAGAGGTCGATGCCTAATCCCCGGCAGGACTCAGGGCATTTTGAGGGCCAGGGCCAACGCCCTGTCCCTAACCGGATGCCATCTGGACAGCGACCACCACCCATGAATGTCGATGCTGGTAGAGGACAACAACCACATCGCACATCGGATCCCATGTCGCCTTCGAGGCGAGCTTTCGGCCCAAATACACAGCGATCTGCAACGATGCCTCATACAACACCAAGTGGAGGCCAAGGGGCCGGCTACAGTGGTCAGCAAGAATTTGCCGAGCCTGGTGCTGTGTCCGGCTACTATGGGCCTGTATCACCAGATTACATCCCTCCCAGGCCTTCAACTGCTGGTGGTGTGAAACAAAACGGACCTCCAATGCAGCATGGGCAAAGACCTCCCATGCCTCAGGTGCCACAACAGCAGCCACAGCCGCAATACCAGCCTCAAGCCCCGAACCAGCAGCAACAGGCTCACAGCGAAGAACAAGGGCTAGACAACTTTTACGATGACTATTATGGACAGGAAGACTCAGCGATAGATATGCCCAATTTTGATGCTATCCCGGAAACCAACAACAGGCATCGGAGAGGCGATTCAATTGACAACCACTTATCCCCGTCCCATGATCTGAGCGCTTACGCTCCGCCAGCTGCTTCTCAAGATATGGGGAATAATAACCCCCAGGGGCAGATGCAGCGAAGCCGGTCACAACCTGATCTCAACGGGCAGTATGCGAATGGTGTACACGAAATGGCTGCAGATGCCCCGCTAATGCCAGGTGTGCCAAGAGCAAACACCGGCTTTGGAGGACCCAATGGTTTGCCAAATGGCGTTCGAGGACGACAACCGCCTCAGAGGGGCATGGCGCCTGGTGGCATGCAGGGCGGACCACCTCATCAAGGTCCAATGCATGGCCAACCGCCCAATATGGACCCAAGATATGGGCGTCCTCCACCTGGGCCCCAGAGGGTCTACTCAGACGACACTACCTACTCAGAACCACCTCCGAACACAATGAGGAACTTCGCGTCGCCCGCACCCGGAAACCCTATCCAACGACCAGGAACAGCTGCACCCGCACCAAGTCGCAATCCGAGCGACCCAATGGGCAGAAGACCTGGTACTACTCAACCGCAGTCGAACCCAGATGCACTACCGGCGCATCCAATGCCTGTACGACAAGGCCTCATGCAGCAACAGCCACAGGTACCGCAGCCCCAAGCACCTCAAAATGCAAGGCCACCACCCGTCAGACAATACAACAGTGAACCTGGGCGTGCCAGCTACGAAAGCAACCCATCCACACAGCGTCACAGTGGACAAGGTGCAGTGTCACACCCTGTTACCTACGATGAGCTCAACAGATTGCGCAACACATTTAAGCAAAATCCGGCCGATGTTGTTACGGGTCTGAAACTATCGAAAAAGCTTGTAGAAGCATCGAGCGTACTTATCGACGAAGGAGGCACAGCTGACTCTAGGACAAAGAACAAAAATCGCGAGAAGTTTATCCTCGAGGCTCACAAGATCATCAAGAAGCTAGTCAGCAATGGTTCCCCAGACGCCATGTTCTATCTCGCCGATTGCTACGGGCAAGGATTGCTTGGCCTGCAAGTAGATACGAAAGAAGCGTTCACGCTCTATCAATCTGCTGCAAAGGGTGGCCATGCTGCAAGTGCTTATCGAACAGCCGTTTGCTGCGAGATGGGCCATGAGGAAGGCGGTGGCACCAAGAAGGATCCCCTCAAAGCCGTACAGTGGTATAGACGTGCTGCTGCATTAGGAGACACACCTGCAATGTATAAGATGGGCATGATTCTCCTCAAGGGGCTCCTCGGCCAACAGAAGAACTTCGGCGAAGCCATCAACATGCTCAAACGAGCCGCTGATCGAGCTGATCGAGACAATCCTCACGCGCTCCACGAATTGGCACTCATCTACGAAGCGCAAACCGGCAATGAACGCGTCATACGCGACGAGGCATATGCATTATCGCTCTTCCACCAAGCAGCTGATCTCGGCTACAAGTTCTCTCAATTTCGTCTCGGACAAGCCTATGAATACGGACTTCTGGGCTGCCCTATTGACGCGCGCACGAGCATAGCTTGGTACACTAAAGCAGCTGCTCAGGAAGAACACCAGAGTGAACTCGCACTTTCGGGCTGGTACCTCACGGGTACATCTGGTATCCTCGAGCAAAGCGATACTGAGGCTTATCTCTGGGCACGGAAAGCAGCGTGCGCAGAGCCACCACTACCAAAAGCGCTTTTCGCCATGGGTTACTTCACCGAAGTGGGCATAGGCTGCCCACGGAGTTTGGATGAGGCGAAACGGTGGTATGGACGGGCTGCAGGTATGTTTCTAAAACTTTGTGTTATATTGCGAAGGAGAATACTAACCTTTTCATAGCGTATAAATTTCCCAAAGCTCAAGAGCGACTTGAAGAACTCAAGCGTGGTGGAAGCAAAGTCCAGATGAAGCGAGAACGTCTTAGTCGGACAAACCAGAAACAACAGGAGGAGAATTGCACCGTCATGTAAAGGTCTGTCGTGCTATCATCTGGATGGGTTTCTCTCTCGCATTGTTCATGTGCATCTGTTTAGTCCTGCTGGCGTTTGGCATGGCGTTCAGTTCTAAGCATTTACGGCGCTGCTGTTCTATAGTTTGCATCAAGCGAGTAAAAATATCCGCTACTCATTACCTGCGAGCGCTACTTCAAGGCAGTGGTTTTACGACTGTCGCATCATCTACAGCAATATCATCCATCTCCCTTGCAAACGCCTCAATTCTACCCAGTTGTCCTATGACATTCTTGATCAACGGCCATCTATCACATCCCAACACATATATGCCCCACAGCTGCGCCTGCAACACCTGAGGCAAAAGGCACACATCTGCCATGCTTACCGCATCACCCACACTATACCTCCCCCCGTACTTCCCCACCATCGTCTCATAAGCATCGAAACCCTCGTTCAGAGCTCTCTGTATGAATTCTCGCTGCCCATCTTCCGTCGCGCCAGCAACCTCTCGCAATCTCAATCCATTTCTCCGATTCGCAAAAGGAAACATATCTTGCGTTACTATCGCTACCAACTCTCTCACCCTTGCTCTCACCTCCGGTTTAGACACGGGCGGCAACAAGGGACAAACTGACGGGAATGTTTCGTCCAAATACTCCAATATGGCGGTGGACTGCGTGATTACGAAGCGTGATTTGGTGAAATGTCCTGATGATGTTGTTTCTTGGATCAGGGCGGGTACCGCGCCGCTGGGGTTTATGGCGAGATACTCTTTTGTTCCGATGGTGGTCCTTGAGTACTTGTCTACGTCATGTGTACGGACGTTGGGTACGCGTTTTAGACATAGGGCGATGCGGACTCGGCGCGCACATGACGACCCTGCACGGTTGTAGAGGTGGTATGTCGAAGTTGTGTTTCGTGTTTCCGGCATCGTGAAATATGTTGGATGTCGAAAATTCCGTGTCAGACTTCTGACGAGTTTTGTTGTCAATTAAGATGATTAATACTCGAACACCAGATTCGAGCAGAACAAATTGATTAGTCTTCTAAGATCGGCGACATGAGTGAAGTGTCGGCCAAGCCGCTAGGCTGACAACTATCTAGCGCCCGCTGCTACCTACCTCTACTGCACCTAGTCACCATTCGCGTCACGTCCCTCTTAGCTGTAACTTCAAGCCACGCCGCGCAAGTACAGGAGCCATCATGCTTCCACCTATTGATCCTACAGTGCTGCAACGCAATCCCAACTTCGAAATCTTGTACAAGGATCTTTGCACCCGAAAGCTCAACCCTAATGGCTCGACGAGAGATACGAAGAAGCAGCGCGTGCATGATGAAATACGAAAGGTAATGATACTCTCAATGTCGCATATTCAAGATTGCGAGATTCCTCCTCGATCTTTGCGGTCTCTTCTCGTTCGGGGTACCCAATGTATAATTCTGTGTTCTGTCGTTTATTTGTTTATGAAAGTTACGTCAGATAAGTTATCAACAGCTACTCTATCCTTCTGTCTTTCCATACTTCGTTACTCTCATGTAGTTATGCTGTGTCCTGGCGTCACTCTTTCATGCTGACAGAAATCCAGACCTTAACCTCCGCCCTCACAACCTTGCATACAACTCAAATCCTCACAACATCATTGTCAACCCTTCCATCAAAAGCTACAGATCTCCCACCAGACCTCCACGCGGTTATAGAGATTGTGACTGCGCAATTGAATGGTCAAATCTCAGCATCAGATCGAGACATCCTCTCCAGCGACATCGGTTTCTTCCATTCGAACATAGGTCTCATCGCCTCTGCTCTATCGACCCAACTCGTCACCATAGCAGACTACCTCTGCATGATCGCCTCCCCATCATCCGTGCCACCAATCTCCTCACTAGCAAATATCGCGCAGACACTTGAAAACTCCGCTACAGAGTCCCTGCCCAGTGACCTCCAGGCCGCAACTACGCATCTAACAAACACCCTAACAACACTACTAAACACGCACTCTAACCTCCTCTCAACCAGCATCAAAATCCTCGAGCAAACCCAACAAGGCGCCTTAGCCCGACACACCAAATCATCCGCCGAACTCCTCCAGACGAAAGCCATCTTACTTGGTCTACGGGCTAAGATCCATACTCTACTTCATCCTCCACCACCGGAATTTGTGGATGCGCTGAAAGAGTATAGAAAGGGATTGGGTGGGGGTAAGAGGGCGCTATGGGATCGGGAGGCACTGGCAAGGCGAGAGTTGGAATTGTACGGGAAGGCTGGCGAGAAAGGGATGAGGGATTTGGCGAAAAGGAAGAAAGGCTTGGTTGAGGAGGCGGAAAGGATTGAAGTGGAAATCAGCAAGCTACAACGTGGGGAGTGAAGGTGGTATGGGTAAATTGGGGGTCGAGAGCGTTGTAGCGTGGGAAACAAGTACACTGCGACGCCTGCAATTGTGAGGTATGGTACTATGTACCCACCCTGGTGCGTTAGACCAGAACCAGGTATCTCAGTGATACGTGGCTGGTCGTCTACCTCAACAAGCGTAGTACCACATCTTCTTTCTTCGAATCTACCATGAACCAGCACTGCAAAACATATATCCCATCTGACCCTTCATCACCAGAAGATTTCCTTTTCACAAACAACCTCATAATGCTCATCTACCACTTCACCCTCCCCTTCTATCCCTCCACTCCAGATTTTCTTCGCTCCCATCTTACATATACAAACTCTATCCACTCTAACCCCTTCCGCCCAGATAAACCCCTTGTATTTCTCGATCAAACTCCTAGCATCAAAGCGCATCCAGCTCTTGCCATCTGGGCCATGGCCTTCACCGGTTGGACGTGGCGCTTCTGCTGTCGAGGCATCGACAGATGCGGTGGCTTCGTTGCCATCTAGAGAGCCTGCTGTGGATGCAGTTTCGTCTTCTAGGTTAACGTCGTTGGTTAAGGTGTTTTTAGTGTGTTCGCCGTTGTGGTGGTGGTGGGGCGAGACTTTGTGTTCCATGTGCTTCAAGCCGTCTTTGAGTCTTTGGCTCTTGGGTCGCCCCCTTCCATGCTTCTTCGGCTTCGCGTAGATTGTGTTCATTATCGTTGCGTGTAATCTCAATGGTCTAGTATCCTCCACCAGTAGTCCCTTCTCTGTGAACTGTTCTCGTAACGCCGCAGCAAAAGGCTGTAAGCGCTGTGATGGGTCTTGAGGCTCTGCGTATAAAATGCTTGTCTTATGTGGTGCTTGCATGGGAATCAAAGATCCGAGATTGATCGTCAAAGCGTCTGTGTCGGGCATGGCTGCTGCATTGAGGTTTTCTGCTATCTCGCCAGATTCGGCAGCCTTCTCTGCCACGCGTCGATGGGTGATGTCGCGAAGGAGGATGTGTAGGTCCAAGTCTTGCAGATTTTGCTTCACTTCTTCTAATTTTAGGGGAGAGAGACTCATTACTCCCAGCGTTAGATGCAATGTGCCAACTGGCCGGACAGCCTTTGTGGGTACCGGGCCATCATTTGCTAGGTCTTCCTTGAATCTCTCCAGTCCTTTTTGCAGTTGAGGTTTGCTCGTATCGGTGACCAATGGTAGGCACAAGAAGTGTGTGAGTTGTGGTTTCTTTGTTCCGCCTTTGGTTTGGTTCTTGTTACCTGTATGCTTTTGTTGTCCGAGCGATGGTGAAATATCTCTTGCCGCGAAGCCCTGCAATGTCGTTCTGATTTCGGTGTTGTCGCGCAACTTCTCGCCATCTAGGAAGTCATTGTATTCGCCTTTGAACTTTTTCTTGCCCATGATTGGTGATGTAGTATAGGATGCGGTATGAGAAAATTGAGCTAGAGTCGATTGTAGAGAATGACGGGCGACTCTGTTCTTTCGTTGGTAGCGAGTAGTGGAGTGCGCGATAGCAGTTGTGATAGTAGCGCCGCGACTGATTGGTCCAGAAGTAGCCTGACGCAGAATGGTCGCAAAGAGCATGAGAAGTCAGAAAAGTTGTGCAAAAGCGAGAGTGGTTGAACGAGCGGTTCAAGGGAAGAGAAAGCGGGCAAAATCAGGCGCGCCTCACTAAACGCCACATGACAGACGGCAGACCGGCAAGGCTACAAGAACGGAACCGAGAAAGGACCTTACGATGGAACCACTCATGGTGTTGACTTTTCTTGGGGTCTGGAAAGTCAGCCTATCACACGCGGTACCAAGTTCGGCAAAGGCCATGTGCAAAAGGTGACGTAGGTCCCGAAGGTGGGGTGAGTGACATGCGCCCGCCGATGGGCGCTCGTTCGGCCCTTCACCGGTAGGGCTGAGGAACAGTTGATGGCACATGTGTGCAATTTAAAGAACGGTTAACATTTATTCATATTCTATGCAATGCGATCAGACGGGAATAGAAAAGATTGAGGACAGGCTATGTAGAGTACTGTAATTTCCTCCTTGGCCCGATGACGACATGTACACAAAAAGCGTTCCGAGGAACGTGAGAGAGGCATGTCGCACAGGAAAAAAGTTCGTCAAGGTTGAGGAGTGGTTGTAGGGCGCGAAGCCGGAGTCAAATGTCGCTCGTTGGAGCGTACGGTCCGAGGCTTGGCTGCTACGACGCCGTCTCCTCCAGTTGAGCGTGGCGAGTGCGAGATGGTTGCTCGCGCCGTAGCTCTGGCTAAATTGCGCCCTAGGCCTTTGCCTTCGCGGGCGGCTCTTCTTCCTCCTCCTCCTCGTCGCCTTCGTCTTGGTAGAACTTCTTCAGAATCTCCTTGACGTCGGTGAACTCTGTCTTGGCCTGCTTGATAATCTTGGCCAGGTTCTCCTGCGCCTTCTCCTCGGTGATGTCCTTTAAGCCTGCGTCGTCCTTGAGCTGACCGTAGTGTTGGATCTTCTCGCACGAGTCCTTGACTTTGGTGAGGCCGAGCGTGGCGGACGAGCCCTTGAGGAAGTGACCTAGCTCGCTAAGCTCCTTGAGGTATTTGCCTTCCTTCTTCTCGCTGTTGTGGCGTTAGCCATCGCATTCGCCATGTGGCGGCATTGCGCGCGCAAGCACGCCATGGTGATGCCCGGGCAGACACAGGGGCACTCACAGCTCCTTGTCCATCTTCTTGAAGGTCTGGTCGGCCTGGCCAAAGAAGTCGTAGACGATGCTTTTGCTGAACTCGCGCTCGACCTCATCCTCGTCCATCTCGAGAATCTGCTCAAAGGTGGCTGGGTCGATTTGGTCTTCCGCACCAGGGATCGACATGATGTCGCCGCTCTGTAGTGAATTTCTTAGGTTAGGCGGTTAAGCTATAGGCGCGTGTTGCGATGTGTACAGCAGGAGGGTTGACACGTGCGGAGAATTGCAGGACATGGAGGGGCGCAGGCAGGAGCAAAGCAGGTAATGGAGGGGCAACACGAACCTTGTCGTCGGTAACCGACATTTTGAACAAGACCGAACAGCAAATCCGGGAAACAGAAAGCCCTCTTCAACCTCGAGGTGATGCTGTCGACACCTTCGTGTACTGGTGTCGCAGCGTTTCAAAGACGTGGGCGCGACGGATATTTTTTCGCGCCTCAGTAGTGGACCGTGCGGCTGTCCGATTCACTGGCTGTGGCTGGATCTAGCTTAGTGAATGACGAAAGGGTCGGCCCGTTGTTGCTGTGAGCGCCGTTATTAGAGTTGTCGTCTTCTGCAGAGAAGAGTGGTTACGGACGCAGGGCAAGGGGGGAAAATGCGAGTGTGACTGTTATTGTCTGCCGAACTACTACGTACAGAGGCCTTAGTTTAGTCAACCCCTCTGCTCGTTTAGGTTGCTAAAGCCTCCACGGATCGGTTGCCGAGAGAAGCGACTGCAGCTATGCTGTTCGCGGTAGATTGGGACGACACGTCGAGTCGGTGAGATAAGAAGAAAGCAATTTAGCGGCAGTGATGGTCACGGGCACGTTGCTCATATGTAAGTCGGCCGTGTTCTAGAAGTCAGAATGGCGATGCTTGCATCACCGCAAAAGAGGGGGGGCACGGAATGATGAGCACAGAAATAAGGCTTTCGCTATATGTGGGTGGATACCTCGACGTCAATCGGCAGCCTTCACTCGCCGTTGATCGCCTGTCACAAAGCCCAACTCTACCCTCTGCCAACGGCTGACTGGCGACCATGACCCCTATCGATCTCATCGGCTGTCCGGCCAAAAGTAATGTAACGCGCCCATGTCGTGTGGAGTCAGGCCTCTGACCTGGCAGGTTGCCCGCTCCATGGTGTCCTCTGCGGCTGATGGAGCTAGCAGAGACCCTCGCTCGCACCGCTTTGTCCCGTCGGCAGCGCATGCAATCGTTGTGCGCAAAAGGTTGGAAAATGAAGACGGCAACTTGACAGTGTGCCAAGAAGGCCTGGAAGCGTTCGGAAAATCGCTATTGCCCGCTGTTGGAAGGGTGAGGGCGGGGTGCCAGCGTACGAATATAAAGAAAGACGAGGGTTGGTTTTCGTCGTGAGAGCAACGACGTCACTTCACCAGCCATCGTCATCGTGCATACTTACCCGGACCCTGGAACTTCATCTGCTAGCCCAACCTAGCAGCATTAACCGCACACAAATACGTCGACGGGTCACCGTTGAATTTCGCACGTTGCGCGCTTCACAATTGCCATGTAGCTATCCTATCAAAATAATCACAGTCGTTGCCAGCACACGAATCCGCCCATGCGAACAAACGCCATAGGTCCGGGTACCAAACCCACCAACAGGCATGCTCCATGGACCCTGACTTCTTTTCTTGCAGGAACCTGCACGCGTGAATCATACTCGTTCATCCGGCCTCCTCCGAGCTGCAAGGCGTCGACACTTTCCTGTTGCTCGTGCAGGGGGTACGGATGACGGAAGCGACACTACATGGAGGCGCCCAGGATCAGCGCCTGTGATTCAGACGTGCAGGACGAGGAACTTGCGGATCGCAGCTGCAGGGTAACCGAGCGGAGTGATTAGCGTGGTGGTTCTATCGGTGAGGACACTTGCTGAACGATGCGGTGTGCGGTACCGGAACGGCTTACTGAACAATGGAGAACGCAAGGCTCGGTTCTTGGAGAGATGTGCGCGACAAGAACCGACTCTGCTCCGCATGTAGAGGGGTGACGACCTTTTGGGGATGCCGCATATGCAAGCCAGCGAAACCGGTCCGGTACGTATGCTTTTGGCCTTTCGCGATGAAGGCGTCCCAGCGCGCGGGAACTAGCGTCGTTGTAGTACGAGGTACAGGCGATACCACATCAAGTAAAGATCTACACATCATCGATGGTTTCACGACGGAATGACCAACGACTCGTGGGGTGTGGGGATTTAGTGGGTGATGTCAAAGCTGGAAAAACTTCGGCTAAGGATGGTAGCATCAACCAATTTAAACGAATCAGATACCTCGATCCGAGAACACAAGAGAAGATATGGTGACGAGGATGAGGGGATCGTGAGCCGTTTCATTTCTCGTAGACTCTCGTAGAATTTGATACTGTATAATCTAGCCGCTGATGCTGTCTGTATGGTACAATGCTGGCGTCAAGCTATGCCATACCGAGGATCGCTGATTCACGGAAGGAAGTGGAACAATGTCATGATGACTCTAACCCTTGACCTTGTAGATGGCCTCGGCGAGGCGGCCGACGTTCTCGCTGGTAATACCCGCAACCGAGATACGGCCGTCCTTGGTGGCATAGACGGAGTGCTGTTGTCGCGATTAGCGTAAAGTTCAAGATAGTTGCAGGATATAAACCTACCTCCTTTGCCAACTTGTCCATCTGCTCAGCTGTCAGACCAGTGTACGCGAACATGCCAATTTGCGAGGTAATGTGGCTCCAGTCGTGCTTGCTGCCGAGCTTCTCGAGGTTCTCCTTGAGAAGGGCACGCATGGTAATGATGCGGTCAGCCATGCCCTTGACCTCACCAAGCCATTGCTTGTTGAGAGAAGGGTCGTTCAGGATCTCAGACGCAATGCGGGCACCGTGAACTGGAGGGTTAGAGTATAGTGGGCGGACAAGAATCTTGATCTGAGAGTCAACACGCTTCTTCTCCTCGGCAGACTCGCAGACGACGGAGAAGGCACCAACACGCTCGCCGTAGAGACCCATGTTCTTGGCGAAGGACTGAGCAAGGACAGGGCGGAGACCCTCCTTGATGAAGTGACGGAGGGCGAAGGCATCCTTGGTAGTGTCACCACTGGCGAAGCCCTGGTAAGCCATGTCGAAGAAGGGGAAGTGGTCACCAGCCTTGACAGCCTCAGCAATCTCAAGCCACTGCTCCTCGGTAGGGTCTACACCAGTAGGGTTGTGGGCACAGGCGTGGAGCAGGACAATGCTGTTCTTGGGCATGGCCTTGATGTCGGCAACCATTCCCTCAAAGTCGAGGCCAATGGTGTCCTTGTTGTAGTAGCGGTACTTCTCGACTTTCAAACCAGAATCCTTGAAGACAGCATTGTGGTTGGCCCACGATGGGGTGGGAATGTAGATGGTCTTCGCACCGGGGTAGTGGCGCTCGAGGAAGGCACCGCCAATGCGGAGGGCACCGGTACCGGAGATGGTCTGGGTGACGGCGATGCTGTCCTGGTTGAGAGGAGCTGAGTCCTCGCCGTACGCGAGCCTGAGGGCAGCCTTGGTGAAGTTGGGTACACCGGTGATGCCGGCGTACTCCTTGTCGAGGTTTGACTTGATGATTTTCTCCTCTGCCTCCCTCACGGATGGCAGAACGTAGGGCTTGCCCTTGTCATCGCGGTAGGCGCCAACACCTGCGCATGTCTGTCAGTCGCGCCTTCCTTGTCACAATGTGTGTACTGACCCAAGTTGATCTTCTTAGGGTTGCTGTCAGCCTTGAAGGCTTCGGTGATACCCAGAATGGCCTGAGGGGCGGTGAGCTATTGTCTGATGTTTCTCTCAGAAGCTATACTTACATCCTGGGATATGTTGTTAGCACTTGCGAAAGACGACTGGGGCCCAATTGCTTTTGCCACTTACTGGAGGACCCTGCGGTACCTGCGACCAAGCGGAGACAGCTCGGACGCTGGTCCTGAGAGACAGCTGCTTAGTCGCCGCCTGGCGCAGCGCCGTTCTTGATGACGCGAGCATGTTGTGGTTGTGTGCGGGGTGGAAGGGGGGATTGGCAGCGAGGATGGGTGGAAGAGAGAGGGGTTATAGAGCTTCGCGGGCACAGTGTAAGCTATTGAAGCGGGTGGTCTGAGTGTGAAATACCCCAGAAAAGTAATAAACTCCCCGTTGCGCGGGCGCGAGCTGCTATGACTCGCCGAGGCACAGTCCCTCCGATTCGCTTAGGCCAGATATCCCTGCTAACTCCGACGCCCGTCAACTAATTTTCATGGCAAATGCGCGCGTCGCGTTGCGTGGGGGACAATTGCGTCCTTTCACTATTGAACGTACATTCTTCCGAAGTGCCCAGACTTCTCTCACAGTATGCGACCAGCTCTAAGGCAAGTCAGGACGCTGCTGAACCATGAAGCCTCGATACCACTGTTCCTCTGTCCCGCATTGCTCAGAGCGCCCATAATCGCACCTCGCCGCCGGGTCCCCGAACATCCAACTCCAAAAGCATACTCAACTCTTGTTGCACCTCAAGAACAAATAAACGCCACTACCCCTCCCGCGGATAACAGCCAAAATCCCCCCAGACATCCTCCAACACAGGCATCCTCAACTCAAAGGCAACTGCCACGAGCATGCCCGGGATGCGGTGCGCCGAGTCAGATATACGACAGGAAGGAGGCTGGATATTATGATGTCGATAGGAATGTGATACGGGAATATTTAGACTGGGTTCCAAACAGGCCCAAAGAGGCGACTGCCGAGGACGACATCTATACCAAGGCGCTCAAAAATGTAAATCCCGAGTTGCTAGGAGAATTGGGGCTTCAAGACCAGAACTCCGAGACACCAGAAGACAACGAACCGCCTGCTACGCCTGTATGCGACCGATGCCACAAGCTCCTCCATCACCGCGTAGGATCGCCTATACACCACCCGACCGTCGACTCTATACAGCAAACGATCGCAGAGTCGCCCCATCGCCGCAATCACATCTACCATGTCGTTGATGCCGCCGATTTCCCGCTTTCCATCGTACCCAACCTCCAATCGTCCCTGCGAATACCCAAACTTCGAACACAGAACAGACGAGCAAAGCACAAGGGATGGGTGGCCAATGACCGCATTGCAGAGGTAAGCTTCATTATCACAAGAGCTGACTTGTTAGCGCCAAAAAAGGAGCAAGTCGACGTCTTAATGCCATATGTCCGAGACGTGCTTCGAGATGCGCTAGGACGACAGAATGCGAATGCGCGGTTGGGTAACGTGCGACTTGTGAGCGCAAAGCGGGGGTGGTGGACCAAACAGGTCAAGGAAGATATTTGGGAGCGTGGAGGCGCGGGATGGATGGTTGGCAAGGTCAACGTGGGAAAGTCAAACCTCTTCGAAGCCGTCTTTCCCAAAGGACGAGGAGCAGACTACCAAGACGTGCGCAAGATCCGGAGCGCAGCCGAGCGTGAGACAATGATCAATAACGCAAAGACACTGGATGAGCTCACGCAGGTGTATCAGCAGCTTGCCGAAGAAGACGCTGAGACGGAACGTCTGAAGAACAAACCTCAAGAACATCTGCATCAGCCTCCTGAAGAAATTGAGGACCACCCTGAAGAGGACGAACTCGATCCTGACGCGCTCCTCCCACCACCGCAGCCATACACCCCGTACCCTGTCCTTCCAATTGCCTCCTCTCTCCCCGGAACAACAGCGTCTCCAATCCGCATTCCGTTTGGCAACAACAGAGGCGAGCTCATCGATCTCCCCGGTCTTGCACGCACAACACCAGGCCTAGAGACATTCGTCCAACCCACCGCACACGATGACCTTGTAATGAAGAACCGCATAAATTCCGAACGCTACACCATCAAACCAGGACAATCACTCATCCTCGGCGGTGGATTGATCCGCATCACACCCGTCACCCCCGACCTAGTCTTCCTCGTCCATCCCTTCGTACCACTCCACCCCCACGTAACCCGCACAGAAAAAGCTGTAGACTACCAAGCGCAAACTTCGGACCGCCAGCTCCAAGTTCCGCCTATACTCGCCCCCAATGTAGGCTCCAAAATGAATTCCGCCGGTAGATTTCAGCTCAAATGGGACGCTACCAAGAAACTTGCTGGTCCCGTTACTTCGCCCATGGCCGGTAAGATGAAACCTGAGAATCTGCCTTTCCGGGTATGGAGCACAGACATCTTGGTAGAGGGTGTAGGATGGATAGAAGTCTCAGCGCAAACCCGCAGACCGCAAGGCTGGAAACCCTCTGGTCTCGTCAAGAAAGATCCCAACCAAGCCAAGTTCGACCGTGTCACGCGTCTCAAGGAGGAAGAAGAGCGGAAGAATCGAAAGTTCGCTGCGATTGCGAGGGCAGAGGAAGAAGGGAGAGATCCGGAAGAGGTGCTCGAGGAAGAGTTCTACGACGACCATATGAAGGATCGGATGGCGGAGTGGGAGGAGGATTACCCCGAAGTGGAGGTGTTCAGTCCGCTGGGCAAGTTTGTGGGACAGAGGAGACCGATGTGTGCGAGCATGGTCAGTGGGCCCAAGTATGTGGCTAGTAGGGATAGGAAGGTTAGGCCGAGAAGGAGCATGGTCAGTGTTAAGAAGCAGAGGAAGCCAAAGGGCGCAGAGTAGGAAGACTTTGTTGCTCAAACAACATGTAGATTAGCTATGTACAAGATGTCATGACACGTTTTACGACAAACTATAGTTGTACTTTTCAACGTTTAATGTTAATCATGTTCCACGCAACATGATTCCATGATGCGTAGAATCGACATCTCTGGTCCTCGGGACAGTGCAAGTTCGTACGCCATACTCCAATATCGATCTTTACCTTTCCAATACAAATCTACTCCAAACCTCTACCTGTTCTTCTTGCGTTGCAAAGTGTTCCTTATCAGAAGGCGACCAATCTTTCGAAGCAATATTCCTATGCACTTTGCTCCTAGTTCTTGCCCTGCTCAAGAACAGCCCAAAATGCTTCTTGTTCCTTTGCGCAAGTCTTGCCATCCTTATCGCAGCCAGGGAAGTTTGCTACAAGATCTCCGTCCTTGTACTGACCATCCTTCTCAGCCGCGGGTCCGGTCGCGTAGGCATTGAGGAGGTTCTGTGGTACCATGGCTAGTTTAGCAAGGATGGTTCCATGCCATCTAAAGGTTTGACAGTCAGCGATCATGTCCTTGTAGCGTTACGCAGCTCATTCTTCGAACGCGGATATAGGAGGAGAAAACTCACTGGACAATATGCTCCAAAGCATGGCTTTCGGCCTTCTGAAAGTTGTAACTTCGGTAAATAGGATCGAACCAAGCATCCAAGAAGAACTTTGCCCACTCCCCGTTCCTCACAACAAAGCTACTCGGCGCCAGTCCATCTTTGTCCTGTGTAACGACGAAATCTATTCTGTCGCCCTTGAGGTTGCCAAAGGTCTTGATGACGCTGTCTGGCGGCACGACGGGTGCGTTGGTGATCATGTGGGTTTCGAGTTTGGCGGGAGTGAGCAGGTGGGTGTGGATGGGGAGAGCAGTGTTCATGATGAGGGCGCTGGAGTCGAGGTACCAGAAAAAGGTTGAGGTGGGATAGAGGGTCATGGCGTGGCGGATGCCGGGGACGCGCGACCAGGAGGCAGGCGAGTTGGAGATGGGGTATTGGTCGTTGGTGGGGAAGAAGGTTAGGTAGCCTGAGAGTGGTTGTGAGTAGGGATCTAATGCGATGTGTGTTGCAGAGGCTCATGACGTACCGTGTCGTTTGGCGTATTCCTCCCTATTGCTCTTGATTTTTTGCATCCATACTGGATCGGTCTTGGGGTCTATAACCGTCACCACCACCACAGGCGGTCCGCTCCCGATGTTCGGCTTTGGGATATTTGCTGCTGTCCAACCTCCAACTTTAGACTTGGCCCTGCTAGTCCCGCCACTGCCACTCAGCATCCATATCAGGACAAAGAAGCCCAGTATGCCGCCGACAATCAGTCGTCCTGCCCTGCTTCGTAGGAGGTTCTTGAGTGCAGGCGGTAGCGCAATTCCACCGCTCTGGTTGCGGGCTGCATATGGCGGTGGTCGCGATGTCTTCCTCGGGGGCATGGCGAAATGCATGGTGTGTGATAAGCGTCCGTGGTCGGGGAGATCACTAGTGATCGCAATTGCGGTTGGGTGAAGCGAAGCGGGAGATGCGACGTGTAGATCGTGAGGTTGAAGAAGAAGGGATATGGCGTCGAAATCGTTACGACACCATTGCTGACGGGAACACGGTTTAGCAGCCTATGCAATAGAATAAGGCACAGCTGAGGGACGGGGGCTGCTGTGCGGTCGCAGAAAGGGACGAAATTCCTAAAGTACACGCGACGACATGGGATGCGATACGATAGCCCTGGAGGCCTTGGCAGGAGGGACCTTGCCTTAGCGGCCGCAGGCAGGGGGCACTGAGAATGCGCAGTCGCGCTTCCATGAGCAGCCATGTGCCTTTTGACAGTCGGAATCGACCTACTTGTCAATTGTTGATGCTTCTGGCCTTGTTAGCTCTACTGCTCAACGCCACGCTTGCACATGGTGCAACTCCTCCACGTTGCCCTAACTCCGTTTCGAGCCCGGCATCGTCAACCTGTCGCATACAACAGCATTGTCAGCCTAACAATCGTCTCAGAAATAGACACATTACGGCCTTGGTACTCGCGACTACTAAGCGGAGTCGGTCGATACGGGATCCAGAAGCTGACGCTGGTTGGCCTCGTTGCGAAGACGCTCGTATTCGCCGACTTTCACCCGCGATGAGTTGACCATGTATGCGCTGCGCGGAAGAAGCATTTCTCGAAATCTATAGAATGGGAAAACAGGTACACTTATTGGGTATGCTGATACATCACGTAGAGCGTGATTACCACGACGTCTTCAAGGCACACATGCCAAGACTCGCGAACTTCTGTATCAACACCTCGAGTGATGGAAAAGTCCAGCTGAGAGACCCGCAGCTAAAGCGGAAGCTCGGTACAGTTGCCAAGCAATATTCTTATCAATCTGCGATGTGACGCTTGCTTGCTAATATCAGACGCTCATAGCTTTGCAGCTACTTCTGCGTTACCCGCTATGACGTCGGCTACCTGTCACAGTAAAGAGACAAAACCCATATGAAAAGTGCGAAAGATCGCCATCTTCCCAGCATCTATTCACATCCATTTCCAACTCACGAGTCATAACTCTAACTACACTTCATCCTAATCCATCTAATCTACCAATACACAACAAACCGCAATCATGGTTGAAAAGGTTATGCAACTGAAATGCGACTGCAACCAGTATCCCTGGGGCAAGCAAGGCTCAAAGTCGCTCGCTGCGACCTTGTGCGAGAAGACTCCAGGCACAGACTTCAAGCTTGACGAGAACACAAGCTATGCAGAGATGTAAGTTTTCTGACGATATGACCGAATGCCATCTAACATTCCACAGGTGGATGGGCACATATCCTGAATTGCCCTCATATGTCCTAGAGACCGGCGAGGATCTTCAAAAGGTGCTCGAAAGGCATCCTGATGAGCTCGTTGGAAAGAAGACTGCCGACAAGTTCAACCACACAAAGCTGCCATACCTACCCAAGGTCCTGTCAATAGCAAAGGCCCTACCACTGCAATTGCATCCAGTACGTTTCGTTTCTACATTACCATTCCTATCGTTAACACAATTATAGAACAAGGATTTGGCTTCGAAGCTGCATGCAAAGAACCCAGATCAATTCACAGACCCGAACCACAAGCCAGAGATCGCGTTGGCTCTGGGCGACTTTGAAGCTTTCTGCGGCTTCAAGCAACTCAAAGACATCGAGCAACTGATGCAGCTGCCACCTCTTCAAGCTTTCCTTCCAGAGGTCAAGAAGCCCGAGTTCGATGATCAGACTCTAAAGCACGTTGTCAGGGAAATGCTCTTGGCCTCTGAGGATGCCGTACGCAAGACCAACGACGCGCTGATGAAGATTCCCAAGGAGCAATTCGGCGAACACAGCTATATCCCCGACATGATTCCACGTTTGGCTGAGCAGTACGACAAGGCGGACAACGGAACTCTTGTTGCCCTCGTCACCATGAACTACCTCCAGCTCAAGGCTGGTGACAGCATCTACATCCCCGCCGACGGCATTCACGCATATCTCTCCGGTGATATCATCGAGTGCATGGCCCGATCGAACAACGTTTTGAACACCGGCTTCTGCCCGCGTGCTGACCGTGACAACGTCGACATGTTCTGCTCTTCTTTGACTTTCACGCCACATGATGCCAAGGAGGCTATCCTACCAGCGAAACCTTTCGATGGAAGCAAAAACGGCAAGACGCAACTCTACGCGCCTCCTCTAAGCGAGTTCAGCATGCTGGCTACAACCGTGGGCGATGGTGATTCCGAGGCCATCCGGTCGCTTGGCGGACCCAGTGTCATGATCGTAACAGAAGGCGAGGGTACCATGAAGGGCAACGGCAAGGAATACAAGCTGAGCGCAGGTTATATTTTCTTTGTCGCGCCAGATGTGGAGTTAGAGTTCAAGGCTACTAAGCAGCTCAAGGCGTTTACAGCCTTTGTAGAGTAGATCGGTCGGATATGTACCTAATGATGAGGCTCAACCTTGCGGAGGTGACCTGGCGGCCGATTGGAGGGACTAGAAGGTTCCCCGCACCTTTCACGTGCGCATACAATCAGCACTACGGATGTACTTTAGCTGTGTAGTTATATAGCCAAGAACCTTATGAGAATGAGCGGAACGCGTTCGGATCCGCATGCACGCGTGCTGTTGATACCCACATGTATCCTTGCTTCCCCGCACTTGATGACAGGCACCCCTCTGCAGCTGGGGATAGCTATAAAACCCCGCAATGGAGCTCATGCTTGCTTGGATGAGTAGAGCTGTTCATCCATGCTAATTGATTGCTTCTTCTTGGTCGCGTTGAGCTGAAGCTTGACCCTGTCGAATTCTAGAGCTGCCTGAAGCTTGCTAGCAATACCACCAACATCAATTACATTTTATTACGAGGTTAGGAACAAACGAACAAGTTACAAAAGCAAAAGTAAAGCTATCCCAGGAGTCTGTTACAAAACATGACAAAAGCTGAATCAAACCTGCTGACACGATTTGAAGCAGTTTCAACCGCCCAACTCCGACCATGGCAACCGCGGCCCCAATGCCGGCGGAGAAACGCGACTCAATGGAAGCCACGGCGAGTAGTCTTGAAGCCAAGATGAAAGCGGCGTCAATCAACCAAACAGCGCGTAAGCGACCTCTCGGGCTCACAGACCTTCCTCCGTCCGTCCGCAACAACATCTACAAGCACTGTCTCGACGCCGAACTCGTCAACCTTGGCAAGCCAAATGTCTCCTACACCCACACCATCTCCAAAGAAGATGGCATCTTATCCTTCTCAGCCTCGCGCAGCCCTTTCCCAGTCAACACGGCTCTCTTTACCATTAACAAAGAGATAAGCAAGGATGCTCTCTCCTACTTCTACGAGAAGAACCTCTGGGTACGATTAGATGTTTACACAAGCGACGCACGACATGCAAAGACGCTACTCGAAGACTCGGGCTTACTCTTCTCAACATCCAAGGGCGACCTAGTTGAAAAGGCTACACGCCATGCCCTCGAGGTTGTTCTCGTGGAGAAGAACAGCAGTCAGAAACGTGCTTCAGTCATGTTTCCCGCTCAGTATCTGCCTCGATTGATCAATTTCTTGGACCAAGCGAGCAGAGCGACGAAGACATGGGCACAAGGTCGCAGTCTCTTCCTAAACGTTGTGAACACATACAGTTTCCCTGTATCAAAGCTACAGGGGGATCTACTGGAGCTTTTCCGTTTGTTGAGCGGGTTCGGCAAGGTGGAAGTTGATGGCAAGAACCTCTTACCTCGGTATGCGGAGGGCCTGCAGAACAATATGATGGGCGAGAGCTTCACGGCAGACGGCTATCTGCAGAGTGTAACAGAGTTGTGTGATTTGGCGGATGAGGCCAGGGAGAAGGAGAAGTATCAGTTGGCGAATGAGTATGCGCACGCTACTATTATTGCGTTGACGTATGGGTACTTGACGCATGCTGAGACGCTGCATTCGCAGGAAGATGACTTCAACAAGTCCGTTCAACGACTGCGCTGGCGGACGGAACTTGGGCTGGGTATCAGTTTGTCTATTCCGCTGAGGGGTCTTACAACCAGTAAGCATTGGTTAAGGACACAGAACCCGACGGAGGAGATTAGGAAGGCGGCACGCGATCTTCTGCTGGCAGAGACTTCGGTTTCGAAAGCGCTGAGTCTGGCACAGGATTCTCCGTCTCCGGCGTCGAATCCTTGGTTCCACTCGCTTCCTGTCGAGCTCATTCCGCCGAACAAACCCACCTTCTTCACCGATCGCGAAAAGGCACAGACGTGGTATGCGCTGGGTACTGTACACATGGCTTTGGGTGAATACATCTTTGCCTGTGGCGACATGGAGAGAGCTTTGGAGCTTTGGGGCAAAGACACAGGCGTTGATGAGGAAGGCGGCTTGAGAAGCAAGATCGAGGAGTCTTTTGAGAAGGCAAGGAAAGGTATCGATGGTGACGCGGAGAGTATGTGGGTTGGTGAAGTCAGGCCAGGAACAGGACTGAAGACTGCGGCTTCTCTGGCAAAGGGACTGTCGGATGATCTGAGGAAGTAGAGGTCTTTTATCGATACCACTAATCAGTAAGAGTAGAGAGTACTTCTCACAAACCCCAATGAAGACGCATAATGATCAACTCTGGAGGCGTTGAAGTTTGTCTGTCATAGCGCGGATATGCTTGAGGATTTTAGTTCTTCGTACATTGGTGTTTTATTGTCTTCAATCATAGTGTTTTACTTCTGGGCCTACGCATGCTACTACCGCAATCTGCAGCTCCTCTTGATAAGTCTTTGAACACGCAGTGATTGTAACTTGCATATATTCATGGATAAACATTTATCTTACAACCGAAATATTTTGGAACCATATTTATGATGTTCTAGTGACGCCATTGTGGGCGAAACATTGGTAAACCGATGGTAAGAGAAAAAAACGAGGATATAATTGCTGAACACGTATCCGAACTTTTGTGCATTGCCTGCTGCACAGTAATCGTATATGAAACGAGTGGTAAAGGGAATTTGGAAGGATGGGTAATACAGCGAAGTGGAATTGGACTTGATAAAGTGGCAGGAGACCGTCAGCCAAGTTCGAGGTCGGATTGGACCCAGGAACGATCTTGGATAGCGGCCATGAATGAAATTTGGCCGTCTCGTCGTCGATGTATATCTAAGTTCGAAGGCGCCTCGCTTTGACATTCAGAATGACTTTTGGTGGTTAGGATGTGGTGAATTCGTATCATTCGAGGCGCTCCTGTTAACGACCATACCAGCTAGATGTCATGGGGTCGCGCGTATGCTGAATGCACCTCCGCTCCAGGTACCCAGTGCTTGGGTCGTGCCACCATCATTCCTGGGTATGGCTGGAGAGGTTCTTTCGGTGTAGGCAACATCGGTCCAGTGGGAATCGGTGGATCAGGTGACTTAGCAAAGAACTGTTCGAGCGTTTCGCCTCTCTCGAGGGCCTGGAACTGGTCTTGTCGGAATTCCTCTAGCACTGATGACTCTACAGGCTTCGGATCAAAGTAAGTGTATGTCCTCGTGCCTTTGGTACCTGGAAGACCAGGCGCTTTGTACTCGGCAACACCGTCCTCGTACGTCTCATAGGTGGAAACAAGACGTTTTCCACCGCCTCCAGGGAGGTCAATGACAAATGATGGCATCATGAACCCGGATAAGGTCCCTCGGAGTTCTTTGTCCAGGGTGATGATCTTGCTGAGAGGCGTCCGGAGGTCTTCGATGCCCTGTACCATATCGCATTGATAGATATAGTATGGCTGTATGTTGATGTTTGAGAGCTTCTTAATAAGATCCGAGAGCGCCTCAAAATCATCGTTGACACCTTTCAACAAGACAGCCTGATTGCGAACAATGACGCCATGCTTGAAGAGCTTGTTCGCGGCCAACTCCGTTATCCATGTGATCTCATTCGCGTGGTTGATGTGGGTATGGAGACATACTTGCTTCCCCATGCTGATGGTTGCTGTCAGTAAACGTCATAGTCAGAGTGACAACCGCCAGACTCACTTTCGCCCTTTGTTGGACACTTTGATCAAGCTATCAACCCACGGATCAGAGTTGTCGAGTATCCGACCAGGGGCCACAGCAAGCCCCTTTGAAGCGAATCGGACTCGTTTGATATGTGGAATGTTGAGAAGCCTCTCGCCAATCTCTTCAATATGCTCAGGTTGTAAGAAATAGGCGTCACCTCCGGAAACAACAATGTCTTCGAGAGAGTTATCGTTGGCGATATGCTCGAAAACTACTTCCCATCGCTTCCGGCTCGGCTTCTGGGGTTTCTTCGACACAGTGTCTGTGTTTCCGCCGACTGCATACGAACGTGTGCAGAAGCGACAGTATACAGGACAAATCGATGTGGCCAAAAACAAGGCTCTTCCGGGGTATCGATGTACTAGGCCAGGTACAGGACTGTCTGCTTCTTCGTGTAAAGAGTCCAGTTCCATGTTCTTGTGGTCGGGGATTATGCCACTTCGGAGAGGAAGAAACTGTCTCCGGATGGGATCGTCCACAGCATTTTTCCAATCAACTAATGAGAGTACATGTGGTGTTAGACGGATAGCCATGGGCGCCAACTTGATGGCTGCGATCTGTACATAGGTCAACATCGACATATGTACGAGGTAAGACCAGCTATAAAGTCACATACAGCGTCCTCGATGAAGTGATCCTTGGTACGAATCTTTTGAAATTGAGAATGCTGCGAGCGGACTAGTTTGTCAGGCAAGGCAGCATTGAGAAACTGGTAAAGCTTGTGCTTGTCGGATACGGTATTGCGAAGCTGTGACAATCAGTATCAGAATAAGCTGTGTATGGTCGTAGTAGAACAAGGTTGGCGGTGAACGTACCTGCCACCGGTAGGATATGAACTCATCATTGGAGACATCTTTCCAAGGCTGTATATGGTTCCAGTAGGGCTTCTGGCCTGCGAAGGTCGACTGGGCTTTGCAATGCTGTAGTGATCGCGTTGCGTGGGTAAAGCCTGGTCGGAGAGGCTGGCTCCTGGCTATGGTCTTGGGAGCGAACATGCCTGCGTATGTGTGTGTGAGGAGAGGTTGTGTGGAAAGCAGGGACGTGATTGAATTTGAGATGGGAAGAGATTGGTGCTAGAAATAATTTCCGCATCTAGGGAATTTGTTTATCGAGCTTGTCACACTGTTGCGTAGCCCAATGGAAAGTGCTGCCGCTCGCCTCGCCGTCTAAGCAGGAGCGATGTATACTATGTTACAACGGCAGCAAGGATGGGGCTGAAGTGGGTCTCCAGTAAATATGGAGAATCCCGCTACGCTCATTCGAACAGCACTAGGTTTGATATCGTGATTCGACGTAGGTTTATGCCTATGATGCGTTTCGACGTTGCCTTTGTTGAGAAACCCCTCATCTCTGGCTTGCGTGCAGCGCTCTTAGTGAATGGATGACGCTTGTGGCGCGTGCTTGCAATCCATGGCGGGACATAGTTCCGGTCGCATGCATACGATTTGGAGCAGCAAAAGGGGTCGGTGAAGAGACAATAGCATGATGCCAGCGTCAGAAAGGTAGTGGAGCAACAATGGTAGGCTCTCGGTGCTGTATTGCCATTCGGGACGAATTTCTTAGGTGGGTTTAGAGACTCAGCTTGTCAGTGTAACAACTTGAGATGATAGCTCGTGGCCAGCGAAGATCTGTTCCTGATAGGGTTATTGGAACACAATAGTCTATCCTGCACTTGCGAGGATTATGGGCCAGTATACAATTCAAGAAGGCGAGTCTACAAGGATCGCTAGCTTACCCCCTTCCACGGTCCCGACCCCTGGGACAAGCCATAATCCCAGAAGCTGCAAGTGGGCATGCACATGTGTGGTACTGCACGCAAGTACTGCATTAGCTTTCTCGTATGTTGGAAAAAACAACCAAACTCGCATCGGCCGAGACCTTTGGGCTGCATTGCTCACAAGAGAGTCGCAAAATTCAGCGACTCGATTCCGGGACAGAGCAGTACCACTTGTCAGCAGGCGCGATGGGAAGAAGCCGGCAGATGAAATGACACGGCCCGTACCGCGCGTACAAAGGAGGGTGGTGAACCTGATTGCCGGGCTCACAGGCTCACGACGATGTCGTGATCAAATAAGCGGTTAGCAGGAGTCGTGGTAGTTGCAGACAGTACCGGCACTAGCGGGGCCTCTACAAAGCTCCGTAGCCTTTCCACTAGACAGGTGCCAAGCCATGACCTCAGCCCCTCCAGACAAGCGCGCGAGCTGCAATTACGATCATCAGCTACCGCGACGACAACTCAACTCTTGACTTCACGCCACCACTACAGCCATGGCTGACTCCCCCGCTTCCACAAATAGCGCACTGCCTGGCGAGTCGCCTGCCCAGACTAAGGCCAGATTGCGGAGAGAGCGTCTAGCCGCCAAAAGTGGTGCCTCTCGTCTTCAACAGATCACTGCTCTGCAAGGCGGCCCACCAAAAGACCTCAAGGAAATTGAGAAAGATGTGCCAGGTAAACATGCTCCCCCCTTCCAGCAGATTAGTCTCCACATGGTCAATTCTAGCTCCGTCCTACAACAGCGTATGAAGGCACGGCTAATCGCGTTCTAGTCAAACCAGCCTCTACCCCATCCCAGTTCACACCCGCTGCCTCTGGCACGGCTACTCCAGATCCAGACGAGGTGGATATCTCACAGCACCACTACGCGCCCGCCTCGCAGCCTCGTCTCCCGTCCCCCTTTGCTTTCGAGGGAAACCAGTCTGGCCCATTCGGCCCCGGGCCCGGCTCCGATGCATCGCAGGATCCTATGATGGCTATGCTGCAGCAGATGATGGGCGCTGGGGCCGGCGGTATGCCTGGCATGCCTGGTGCTCCAGGTCAAGCCGGTGCGCCACCTGGCGGTCTGCCACCTAATCTTGCCAATATGTTCTCTGCGATGCAGGGTGGTGGCGGTGCCTCTGAGCCGTCACCAGAGCAATCTTCGGCCTGGATCTGGCGGTTAGTACACTCTGTCTTCTCGTTTGGTCTTGCCGTCTACATTATCCTGCAAACCCCCTTTACTGGAACCAAACTGTCACGCGATAATGTACTCGACGATGACTGGACCTCCCAATCCACTCCGGCCCAGAACTTTGCGCACTTCTTCTACCTCTTTGCGACTTTTGAGGTTGTCTTACAGTCCTCGCGCTATTTCATCGAAAGGGGCCAATTGCAGGGGAGCGGTATCCTCAGCACAGTGGCTGGAATCTTGCCGGCGCCATATTCAGGCTATGTGCGGACTGTAGGCAGGTACAGCGTCATCTACAGTACAGTTGTGAGCGACGCTATGGTAGTAGTATTTGTCCTAGGCGCTACAAGCTGGTGGAGAGGTGCTGAGGTTGCATAAAACTGTGCCATCTTTGGCGTCGATAGAATAATGGTATGACGGACGCCTTCGTACCCGGCTCCTTTTCGATGCAGCGCTCCACTCAGTCCTACCCAGGTACGCCGTGACTTCCCAACGAACCAGTCAATGCCTTGACACTACGCCACAGTCTGGGACGAACGAACATCGCACCCATCTCAGTGTTCACGTGAGGGAAAACAAATCAGCAACATATCTCTGAAGTCGCTCCTATTGGGTGACATAGCAACTGTTCATGGATCACCATTACTACGGGAAGTTGGCTAGTGTATGCACGTCATACCTTGTGACACGTTCCGCGGAGAAAGCGTACATCAACCTCCTTCTACACATTGTACGCGCTTGCACTGCGTGGGCTTCATGCACATCATTATTCTACGCTGTTTGATTGCTTTGATATCACGAGACCTGCAGATCCCTTTTCCAGACGCGCGGAATTCCATCAATCATGCGCACATGGCAGCCAGCATTCGTTGGGCAGTCAGGACCTGTTACACGGCTACCAGCAGTAATATCTCGACAACACGCGTTGCTCAACAGCAAGATACGCCTCGCGTTCTCGTCTGTTCCCGTCTCTGGTGGATAGCGCGTACGGTGAAGAGCGCACCCGCATACGCGTTACGTGCCCACCGCCACATTCGTCTTGCGTAAAATTTACTGTTCTTTTCGGCGAAGAATCCCGGGTCAATGTCAATCGCAGTCGTGCATGATGCAATCTCGTCTCGAATTCCCATGCTTTCACACTCATGACCTATTGATGCTTCACGACTGTTGCTTCAATGATCTCAGTAGTATGTGCCACGAGTCATATATCGAGACGTGGCGTCGTCAGGCCCTTTCAACCGGTTTCACGGCGTTGGTTGACAAGGACACGCGCAGCTTTCCGCGGGAGGATTCTTTACAACAACTTGAGATGCCCAGTAACCTGATCTATGACGCCCTTAGGTGCAGGGCCGATACCTAGCACCGTTGCACTTCCGCTCGCGATTTGTGTCCGTCCCGCATCGTGTATAATGTGTGCCACTAACCCTAGGCTTAGTGCTTGCGCCTGCAATAGTTCCAACTCTTCCTCGCTCTTGACTTGCAACGCCACTTTCGCTTGACCCATACGTTCCCAGCGTCGTAGTAGCGTCGACTCGGGCGAGTGCTTGAGGAAGTGTTTGTAGCAGGCCAGTGTTGCGTGCCCGCATTGTGCGCCAATCTTGCCTATTTCATGGTTAGATATCTTGTAGATAGTAATTATGTGTAAAGATTTGCAGTACCTTTAGTCATGCCGAGATCCGTTCGTACTACCAATACCATCTTGCACTCCTCGTTGTGACCTGGGAACTCTGCAGGCGTGCTGTCGTCGTCTTCGTCGCTTGACTCATCTTCTGAATCTTCTGCTTCCTCTTTCTCAGACTTTGTTGGCTGAGAGACTGGGCTGCCCCCGAAGAGACCAAGTGACTTTGCTTGTCCCAGAAAGTAGCCTGTCACACCAGCGAGTATGGCGCATGCGGCTGCTATGTTTGCCGTAGACGGCTGTTGGGGAGTGTCTGCCATACGTGCGGTTGACGATTATCTTAGAAATAGAAGACAATAATTTTACAACAGACGGATAGTGGGAATTAGTTTACTTCCAGGTAATAATTAAGTGAAAGCGAGAGTCATGTCGTTCCGTGGTTCACTTCCGCCCGCAATTGTAGAGCTAAACGTAAGGCTGAGGTCCGTGCTGAAGACTTCACGAATTTGCGGACTACCGAGCACATCGCCTATCCATCACGACGGCACCACCGCTGCCTTCGTCACTACACACCATGCCTCCCCGGTGCCAATTACTCTCTGGCCGTCTCCCAACTCAGAGATTGGCTCCTCGCCCGGCAAAATCGACACACCGAACCTACGCGACGTCCGAGCCCACTCCCGCAGTGAAGAACCCGCTGCAGCGACGACGCGGCGGTGATCTCGGCTCCCACCTTCCCAAGAACGTCATCCCCAAAGATGCATACATCCCCGCATATCCCTATGGCGACCAGCAGTTGTTCAAGCAAGCCAACAAGGGTCTCTACGGCGAGCAGATGATCCGCTTCGGCAATAATGTCTCCAAAGACACCGAAACCAAGACGCGAAGGAACTGGAAGCCCAATGTACTCTCCAAAAGCCTATACTCGGTTGCATTAAAGAAGAGGATAAAGCTGCGCATCACCGCCAAGGTTCTCAAGACCATGGATCGCGAGGGTGGGCTGGACGAGTACCTGCTCAAGGACAATGTGGCACGTATCAAAGAGCTTGGACCTATGGGATGGGCGCTACGATGGACACTCATGCAGAAGCCGGAAGTCATCGAGCGGTTACGAGCAGATGCTGCTGCTCTAGGCCTGGATCAAGCCGCAATTGACAAGCAATGGCCTACACTCCAAATGCAGGCTGAGCAAAGGGCAGCTGAGGGTACATTGGTCAGGAACGTAAATTCTGGCGCACCTGTGGATTTGGAGTTTGCTCAGACAGAAGGACAAGAGATGTGGGCTGGGGAGGAAGCCGAAGACCCGGCGGCGCTAGAGAAACGCGAGAAGTACATTGAGTCCCGTGCTGCCATCGAATACACAAAGGCAACCAAGGCAGCAGAACGCTACCTCAGCCGAGGTGTCGTCGATAGCGTGGAGGAAGGTCTCAAGTTAGCTTTCATACGAGCCAGGGAGCGCGAAGAGGCAGCCGCACTCCTCAAGCACAAGTCTGTCAGGAAACAACAAGAGGCAGGCTTCACAAAGGCAGAGCTACAGGAAATCAGGACAAGATTCAACCTCCCCAACATCAAAGACCATACAGCCAGGAAGATCGCTTACAACCAACGAAAACGCAAGATGATCGACGAAGCTGGTGGCATTGAAGCCTGGAATGCATCCAAAGCTGCCGCCCATCTTGCCCGCGTAGCAGAAGCCGGTGGAGAAGAAGCTTTCCTGAAAGAGCGGAAAGCTGAATATGCTGCTCTTATCGCGGAAGCGGAGACTGCTTCTACCAACGAGGCTATCGACGCTGAACGACGGACCTACTACCAGATTGCTATCGAGAGGGCGGACCGAGCTATCAAGGCCAAGGCTGGTAGTGGCGAGGCCGACTACGTCGAGTCGACCTTGGAGGAGTTCCGCAAGCGGAGTGGTGGTGGCCTGAGTGAGATCTACCGTGCGGCGCAAAGGGAGAGGAGTGCGGGTGGTGATGCTTGGGGCGCGCTTGTCAATTCGAGTAAGAAGCCTGCGGATAGCCGGCCGCGCGTGTAGTAGAAGTTGTATGACTGAGATGTTGATATGTACAAATACTGTTTGTATACCATGGACTTTTACGAACAGCGTTTATGCTACGCATTATCATGTGCCACCTCGTTCGCTTCTGATTTGAGCAATCGCTATCTCGCTTGCCATGGCGGCTCCCATTCACATTTCACTTTCTGTTGACGTATCTTCAGATCCGATGGGTTTCATGTGTGCATCCTTCGCAATTTCTGGTAAGGCTGGCGTCGATCCTGGGTCAGATCATTGGTGCGCTTAGCTCTTGCCTGATGGAGTTACAGGAAGGTGCATAGGAGGCTGTGTCGGAGGTCATAACTTCAGCCCCAGCTCCTGCCACGCCTTGACTATGACCCATCTTCCCACTATCTGGTGACATCGCCTCATCTTGTCACTCTTGTTTGGGCTACATTTTGGTAGCTCAAAAAACACAGTTTCCAACGCTCTCTTCAGACCGGGACCCTGCGAACGATAACGTAAAGGATGACTGCAATTGATGTCCAAGAGCATTGGGGCTGCGCGGATAGTGAAATGAATGGCAAACAGGTGGAGCGAATCAACAACCTCGATGAAATGTGCACCAAAGCTACCGAGTAGAATTGCGGCGATCTCGATATCAACGAGAAATCTTCTTCAGAAGGTCTTCCTTCTGCCTTTGGAACTGCCAATAGGTCCAAGTTTATACCAAACGAAAGTGGCGTGTTGGAAAGTCATTGTGCATCAAACTCCAGCTCGGGCTATCAGCAATCTTCCATGTCGAACTTCAGTTCCCCAGCAAGTTTCATGACCGCGAGCAGTCCTGCCACTTTTATCAGTGCAAAATCAACCTACAATAGCCCAGCATATATGTCAGCGAGCGGCTACAGCCCCGCAATGAGGATCGAAACCATTCGCGAGGATGAGCCGCCTGAACCTGGACTCTCGGCACCACTTGTACAGCTACATGAAGACTACTACCTCGGTCTTCACAAGAGAGAGATCATTCAGCCCTTTGACAAGGAACTCAACTGGTCCGGCAAGGGCCAGCACGTTACCTATTCGGCCACAGATGTGATCCCACTGTCGCACATATCGCATCTAGGGTCATCCATGTCTGCAAGTGTCGATAAAGTACTCTGCCGTCGGGTAGCTCTTGCACGGAAAACCATGAGATGCGATCGTAGATGGACTGTGGCTGATGCCCTACAAGAGGTCTATCATCTACAGAACCTGCGCCATTATCACATCGTTCAGCTTGTGGGGACCTATCTTCAAGGTCGTAACTTCTCGATCTTAATGTACCCAGCCGCGGACACGCATCTTGGGAAATTCCTAGAAGACACACTGGATATGGACATGTGGATGTCGAAGAGACGCAGATATTCTCTCAATAAAACACTAGGCTGCCTCGCTTCGGCTGTGGCTTTCATCCACCAGCATACTACAAAACACATGGACATAAAGCCCCAAAACATACTCGTCCGACAAGTGGAGCATGGCAGCGCCCCCACTTGGTGTGTCTATATTGCCGACTTTGGACTCTCCCGTTCTTTCTCTTCACAGGACCATAGTCAAACCGATGGTCCCACTTCACGGACACCTAGATACTGTGCACCTGAAGTGTATAACTACGAACAAAGAGGTCGATCTGCAGATGTATTCTCGCTCGGCTGCGTTTTCCTCGAGATTCTGACCGTCATGTGTTGTATAGATCTGCAGGTCTTTACGGATGCGCGCCGAGGTCACGGTGATGACGAATCTTTCCATGCAAACCTGGACAGAGCAGTTGGGTGGGCTCGCCAAAACTTGTGTGCGTTACCGTCTGATCTTAAAGATTCCCCGTACACGGTCGTTGATGATTACACACTCGGACTTATTACGAATTTGGCCATTAGCATGGTCGCCCAAGAACCTGAGAAGAGGCCTACAACAGCGGAAGTCCATGTCCACCTCCAGCTTCGGGCTACCAATCTTCCGCTCAGGTTCTGCTGCCTTGACACTCCGGAGCCCTATGAAGCATATTACCCCCTTGCTGAACACATGGGATTGCAAACTCGAACATCCAGTAAATAGTGTCACATGGCATAAAGGCAATACAAAGCTGAAGTCATAACGTCTTGAATTCCGTATAAAAATGAATCTCAACATCTCCATCTCTCCTATGCACTTGAAACAGAGCACGTATAGATGATCTGGCTCATGCTTCCCGCAGACATTGTCAAAGCGGGACAACTTCCTCTTTCCTTGTTTAAGCTGCGTTCTTTACAGCTACCCCACTTCCGTCATCGTCGATAATGTACAAGAACGAATTATGTTAACCTACGACAGATTGGTAGGTGAAAGAAACAGAGAAACAGATAAGCAAAAATATGCCCACAAAACGCCGGCGAAAGAAGTGAGAAGCAAACAGGCAAGCAAGAAAGATATCCGCCCGAGCTGAAATGGGGTAATAATGTTGGAGATCTAACGCCAGGACGGAGAAGACTGGTGAAAAGTACGATTCAATATGGAAATCGGGAGAGGGATAAACGCCGCGCTATACAAGAGATAGAGATGCGAGAATGTTGCGAGAAGAGAGGCCGCGGAAGAGTGAGAAGGCGAGGGACAAGTAATGAAGGACTAGTTGCCCGCCTTCATCCTCTTGTTACCTCCCACCCTTGGGCTTTGCTTGACCTTTTGCCCGCCGTTCATATCTCCGCCACCGTCATCGTTATCCATCTTTACTGTGCTCCGCCGCCGCTTGTTGTTCATCATGTTTGGAGATGTGTTGACGCTCATGGTGTGTGAACTAGTGCTCTGTTGCTTCATCATGGGCTGCGAGTTAGGCGAGGGTGTATGTTGGAAGTGAGGCGACCCACCCATTGATCCGTTAGGAAGAAGGGAGTTCTGCATCGCGGGTGACATGAACATTTGAGGCTGGCCGGGGCCTCCTGGTCGCGGGCCGGGCTGCATGTTAGGTTGCATGCCTGGTCCCTGTTGAGGCCCTTGGTTCGGGTGCTGCGGGCCTTGAGGACCGCCTTGGGTGTTTGCCATGTTGTTGTTCCATGACTCCAGAGCTTCGCTTGGCTTCATATGAGGGTTCTCGAGGTAGTGTACCATCAAGCTTGTCATGTGGTTCATTGGCTCGTAAATCTAGGCTTGTTAGTGTTAATGTCCATGAGGATGATGTGGAGAAGAGTCTTACCTCAAGATAGGCCTGCAAGCCGTGAGGCAGCCCATAGTCTGTAGTACTAGCACTGAGCAGCTTGTTGATGGGTAGATACGCTTCTGGCGGCTCAACCCCTCGTTGCTGCGGTGGTCCTGCCTTCTTCTTCATCCGCGGCGACTGATTTGGATTCAGTTGGTTCGGCGAAGGTTGAACAAACATCTGCTTCAGAGCATTGAGTGGTATGAATTGTTCGTGGCCGAGACCGTCGAACAGCAACCACTCCAGCTTATCTGAGCCAGACCAGAACGCGGTCAGTTTGCCTTGGTACACAACCTGGCAAGAGTTCTTGTATGTGTAGATGAACTTTGCTCGCTCACAAGTTACTTTGAGCTCAGCACCTGAGACCTTTTCTGTCGCTCCATCCAGAGTGATTTGCAAGCTGGCGACGTCGGTGTTGAAGAGCGTGTAGAAGTATCGAGGTAGGGCGGCGTAAACAATTTCGAATTGCTTAGATCTCTCTGTACTTGAGGAGCAAACGATGTGGACAAAGGATCCAGACTCGGCGAAGAATCTATCCACAAAGGCTTGCCACCACTCAATGTTGTTGTTTGTGCCGTTGAAGTTTCCTATTTGTTCCACGAAGTTTAGCAACTTCAGTGTTCCCTGGCCTGAAGAAACAGTCTGTGCTTGTTGCTGCTTCATCATTGCCATTTGACGGGCCTGGTTTTGGGCAGCGTTCGCTTGAGCCTGTGCCTGAGCTTGTTGTACTAGTGCTGGATTCCGTTGTTGCATTTGGTTTTGAGCCTGTTGGTTTGCTTGTTGAGGTAGGTTGGGCGGTTGGGATGGAGCAGGCGTCTGCTGTTGTGGCCCTGGGCCTGATTGTGGCGGTTGGGATGACTGTTGCTGTTGTTGAGCTTGTTGCTGGGCCTGTTGTTGAGCCTGTTGCTGAGCCTGCTGCTGGGCTTGTTGCTGGGCCTGCTGTTGCTGCTGAGCCTGCTGCTGTTGCTGTTGTTGCTGCTGTTGTGGCTGCGGTGGTGGTGGCTGTGGCTGTTGCTGAGGCGTAGGTTGAGGAGCTGGCGACGACTGTCCCTGATGACTGCCTATCGCGGATGGAGGACGAAGAGGCCCTTGCTGAGGCTGAGAGGTTTGTGGCGGTCCCTGGTTCCCTGCCTGGCTGTGATTGCTAGACTGAGATTGGGCATGTTGCATAGCAATCGCCTGCTGTTGTGCCTGCATTTGTTGTTGTTGATGAGCGTGTTGTTGAGCTGCTTGGGCCATGGCAGCTTGTTGTTGCGGGCCTCCAGGATGTTGACCACCCATCTGCTGTTGTTGCTGGAGCAGGTGGGGAGGAAGGTTGACAAACGGTCCTTGGCCCATCTGTCCATTCCTCATTGCTTGCAACTGTTGTGCTTGTGCTTGGTTCAAGTTCATGGGATTCTGGAAACCCATTCCCATACCGCCTTGTTGGTGGGCAAGCATGGCCTGCTGTTGCTGCCGGTGCATGAATGCTTGCTGGGCTGTCCGTTGCTGTTGCATCATTGCAGGGTTCACTATCATGTCTGTCAGTCATTGCCGTACAGTTGCACGAAGCAGTAATACTGACTCATCTGATGTTGCTGCTGTTGAGGGAACATGTGCTGCTGAGGCTGTAGGTGTGAGAGGGCATGCGCATTAGCACCCATGCCTGGCTGCATGCCCATCATGGGTCCAGCCTGACTGACAGGACCATTGGGGCCGGAGACGTGCTGCATTCCCGGTGGCATTCCATGTTGGCCTGGGTTCGGGCCAGGGCCGCCCATACCTGGGTGCGCATGCTGCATGCCTTGAGGGGGCATGCCGCCATTGTGTGGGTAGCTCGTTGTCATCATCTTGCTGGATCTTCAGTGCGGACGGTCGCCTCGCAGTTGCGGAAATGTATCGGGTAGAGGTAATGCGACAGTTGAAGAAATTGGGAGGTAGGTCCGCGTGATGCGAAGATTGACCGGCGACGAGATGGGTTCAGCAATGTTATTGCTTCCAAGTCATACGTGCTCGGAAAATCGCGTCAAGTCCAATGGGGGAAGAGTATTTCAGGTGGTTGCGACGAGATGTCGAAATATGGCCCCGATGTTGCCGATGGGGGAGGCTGATGAATTGCCCGCGCAGGTGTCGCGATGGGCGCGCTGCAGGCCGGTGGTCGGTACTTGCCGGGCACTTGGAACAGGGCGAGGGTCAAGCAAGAGGTCGCGCAAGGTGCAGCGCAATACTCACGAGGGCGAAGAGGTGGAGTTGAGGTGTGCTGCCACGTCTGGCGCGGTGTCGTGTCGGGTGATATCGTGTCGCATCCGTCCCGCCAGCAGAGCGGTGGAGTAGAGACGAGAGAGAGGCCGTCCAGAGGCTGCAGGAGCGGTGCGGCGATGGTGTCTAGCGACGCGGTGTTATGCGACGATGCGTCCGGTGCGAGTTTAGATCCAGGGCCAGGGACGATGCCAGGGACGCGGGCGTCGAGTGGTGGAGTTCTGGCGTGGTGAGAGGTGATGGGCGCATGGCCCTCTCCGAAGATCAGCGCTGGTTAGGGGGCCGTTTCGGTATCGCGCGAAAAGCTGCGTGGCTGGGCAGAACCCAATCTATCCGGTCTGCAACTCACGAGCAATATATCCGCCGGCACAGCAGGACAACAACGCGTCTGAATGTTGTTCACTCGTTTCCGACTTGACAGGGTGCACACTGAAGTCTCTTCTTGCTGTGACGCCTTGCTGCTGGTCGTCACTGCCCGGATGACGATTCCAAATAATCCCGCTTGCCCGTTCGGGCGTACACGTGATGCGACAAATCTTGGCGCGCTAATTCGGCGCTGTACTTTTCTTCGACCGCGACACTGGTTTTCTCTCGACAATAAACTCAATCCGCAGGTCGTGATGGACATGCGAACAACCACTGGCTCCGGGCTGCTTCATGCGAATTATTGAAGGCCCGAAGCCAGCCCTCCCTATAACGTAAGTCTACTCCTTTTTTCTTTGCTTTTCTCTGGAAAGATTATACCCTCAGCAACTTCTTTTCCTTACCGATTCGACCTTGAAGATAGCAAAGCTGTTCGGTTGCCCTTCGCCGGGCGACTGCTACTTGCCAGTACTGTCGTATGACCTCTGTCACTATGCTTGAATCATCTGATTAAGTTTGCATGTCAGATTGCTAATGTTCAAGTACAGTAATCCTCGCTTACTCTGATCGGCGCGTGCCTTTCCGAGTCTTGTCGCCCAGCCCGGCATCGCATCGCATTGCATTCCATCGAGATTTTCGCAATACTATACCAGTCTGGCGACGACTGCATTGTTGAATGTGCGCATAACGCAGGCTCAAACAGCTTTGCGGCGCAATAGCATACGCGTATGCGCGCCATCATGACAGCTAACAACAGTTCCATGGCATGTCTGCTGTGATACAAGGTCAGTTTTCTCCATTTTTTTCACACCTCTCCCTTTCATGATGAAACATTTCCACATTCGCAGTTTCCACGCTAGCCATCAATTGAACCTACAACCGATGGACAATGAGCGCGAATACCTTCCTTGGATGTCTGATCCTTATACATACTCTGTTCTGTCATTGCTGAAGTTTCTATCCAACAATTACTGACATGGTCAAACAGATTCTCGACACTTATTGTAGAGCTTGGATCTATTGGGCACTTTGGTTGGCGACAGCTTTGTGTTCGCATTAGCTGTATGGATATGGTCAAGATAGCATAGTTTTACAGTAGTATAATACCATCTAACTGTTGCGACCTTACCTGCACTCCGTCCTCCGCTTTATTCATCACGAAATGCTCTTAGTCTGCTGACCTCCACCCTAACCTTCATGTTTCGCCTTGTTGATGCCTGCGCTGATGCGAAAACACGTACTGATCATACACAGGACGATCTTGCTTCAGCAAGCTCTCTATGTTTGTTTACATGCGAGGGCGAGGCTGCTCTGCGTAAATGTCGCAGTAAAGTGCCAAGCCCCAGCTGCCACAGCCCAGCGTCATTGTCGCATCTGGCATAGGCGCTAGAGCATCCTGGTCAGAGCTTCCCCAACCCACTTGGACGGCCGACCTCTAACTTCGTCACCCAACGATCTTCGAGGCTACAGACCGACCGCGGCCCTCGATCCAACTCCGAGCGACACCTGCACCTCCCCGAACCGCTCACTACCGCCACGATGCCTGAAGTTGTGGACCCCCGCATGATCTCGGTGACGCCCAGGATACGATACAACACCATCGGAGGCGTCAACGGTCCATTGGTTATCCTCGACAATGTGCGTAGTCCAAGGTCATAAGACGGAGTGAGAGGAAGCTTATACATGTGGTGGACAGGTCAAATTCCCGCGATACAACGAGATTGTCTCCCTGACTCTGCCCGATGGCACCGAGCGCTCTGGTCAGGTCCTCGAAGCTCGAGGTAAGCTACTCCGACGCCGATGATACACCCCGAGACTGACACATGCTGCAGGCAACCGCGCCGTTGTCCAGGTAAATTCCGACACGCTCAAGCTGTGCGACGACTCAATCTAATCGTGCCACAGGTCTTCGAAGGCACATCTGGTATCGATGTCAAGAAGGTACTTAGGCTCAGCGCTGCGCACGGGGACTACACTGACAGTCGCAGACCAAAGTTGAATTCACTGGACACAGCTTGAAGCTCGGTGTGTCCGAGGACATGTTGGGTCGTATCTTCGATGGTTCAGGAAAGCCCATCGACAAGGGCCCCAAGGTGCTTGCCGAGGACTACCTTGACATTAACGGTTCTCCCATCAACCCATACTCTCGTGTATGTATCAGTCCTGCTTTCTTCTGACTATGCGACTGACGATCTGCAGGTCTACCCCGAGGAGATGATCTCCACCGGTATCTCCGCCATCGACACCATGAACTCGATCGCCCGTGGCCAAAAGATCCCCATCTTCTCCTCGTCGGGTCTACCTCACAACGAAATCGCCGCGCAGATTTGCAGACAGGCTGGTCTTGTTGGAAAGCCATCCAAGGGTGTACATGATGACCACGACGACAACTTCTCCATTGTCTTCGGTGCTATGGGTGTCAACTTGGAGACGAGTCGCTTCTTCACTCGCGACTTCGAGGAGAACGGCAGTATGGAGCGTGTCACTCTGTTCCTCAACTTGGCAAACGACCCTACGTAAGTCAGGTGCGCATGCGCTACGACCCCAGCTAACCCAGCCTAGCATCGAGCGTATCATTACTCCACGTCTCGCCCTTACCACCGCCGAATACTACGCCTACCAGCTCGAGAAGCACGTCTTGGTCATTCTTACCGACTTGTCCTCTTACTGTGATGCGCTACGTGAGGTTTCCGCTGCCCGAGAGGAAGTCCCTGGTCGCCGTGGTTACCCCGGTTACATGTACACGGATTTGTCTACAATCTACGAGCGTGCTGGACGTGTTGAGGGCCGTAACGGATCTATCACTCAGATCCCTATTCTTACTATGCCTAACGACGGTATGTCCTGAAGATTACACCACCAACGCCTTATACTAACTACGTCAGATATCACACATCCTATCCCCGATTTGACTGGTTACATTACGGAAGGTCAGATCTTCATTGACCGTCAACTCGACAACAAGGGTATCTACCCTCCGATCAACGTTCTCCCATCCCTCTCCCGTCTCATGAAGTCTGCCATCGGTGAGGGCCGCACACGAAAGGACCACGGTGATGTGTCCAACCAGCTGTACGCCAAGTACGCTATTGGTCGTGATGCCGCTGCCATGAAGGCAGTCGTCGGAGAGGAAGCTCTGTCCTCAGAAGACAAGCTGTCGCTTGAGTTCCTCGAGAAGTTCGAGCGCTCCTTTATCTCCCAGGGTGCCTACGAGTCCCGCTCCATTCACGAATCCCTCGACCTCGCCTGGTCGCTGCTCCGTATCTACCCCAAGGAACTCCTCAACCGTATCCCAGCCAAGGTTCTCGACCAATACTACCAGAGGAGTCGGGGCGGTGACGATGGTGACAAGAAGAAGGGCAACAAGGATACCAAGGACAACTCTGGTGAGAATGGCCAACAGGGTGAGAACTTGATTGATGTTTAAGCAAGATATCTATAGTGTGTTTGAGTTTGAGGATGGAATGGATTGACTCTATGGCCATGTTCAGTGAGCGGAATGTGGGTAGAAATACTGCATTGAGGATATATGAATTTGCTGAATCTTTAATCGGATGTGTGCCTGATTGCGTGCAATATGATATGGATTGGACTAATCATGATGATTTATGATAATTTGACTTTCCGGTCATATTGATGCTATCAGCCATCCATATTCGTGATACACTCATACAAGTTATGTGAATCTTATATTCTACTCATCTTACAATAGTAAGCTCTAAGGACCATGAGATACCCTATGGTTTCTAACCCCCAGCACGTCAGTTTGATGCACTACCTCCATACTTCCCTGTTATCATTAAAGACACAGAGATATCGCCTTTCGTTCTAGCTTTTTGAGCGATTTACATCGCTGCACTCTTTTATTTACAAAAGTCCACCTATTACCAATGTATCACAGGGAGAAGACTGCCTTTTTGATCTTTTTTTATTTGGCAGTTTGACTCACTTGGTAGCAACGTCTGCTTCTTGTTTTCATAACAAGTAACTTGACACTTAGAGATGTTGTCATGTACTCGTGCAATCATTCTGGAGTGGGGTTACGTTGTCTTCGTCCTGGCCAAGGCCAACTTGAATCGCGTCCCATAAGTCGGCAATACATCTTTGCTTGGTATCGTGGTTAATGGGATTGGCTCCCTCTCTTTGGCTCTGATGGCCTGTCGATTAGGCTTTTTTCCTTTGTTTCTCATTTTGCAGTGGTCTTTGGTGGGCTTGGATCCGCGCTCTTCTCTCTATTAAATTGGAGAGGCCAGTCTGCAAGGCCTGAAGCCTACATGAATTGCAATACTTGCAATACTTAGAGTAATGCATCAGCATGGCGCCCACAAATCCTGCCATGCTTTCCAACAGCACAAAATCGCCGACCAGGGGTTTGAAAAGATTCAGTTCCTTCTTGACCGTGCGTTTCGCTGCTGCAGTTCCTTTGATACTGGCTACCTAGGCTGATAGGTATCCCAGCTCGGAGTTATTTTCGAAGGTTGGTCGGCGAGGGGAGGGGATTACCTGGTTACCTTGAGCGGGAAGGGTTACACCTGCTTGCTTCTGTCCTTCGAAGGGAGTTGGTGTCCTGTATAGTTCAACGATGGCTTGGGCTGTTTCGAGTTCAGTAGTGGGAATGAAGGAGGCGTGTCTTGCGGATATTCCCCCGCACCATCCCATCTCACATCGATCTGTAAACAGTGCAAACGCTTTTATTATGATGCCACGTGAAAATTTGCCTTGTTGTGATGTGATGCTTGTTGAACTTTTGAACGTCCAAGCAACAACAGTGCGTATCGTCACCGCCCGACCACCCGCCACAAACCCCTTGCTGCTGCTATTCCTGCCATTATCTTCTTTTGCCTCTTCTGTCTCCTGTTCACCGGCTCGCTGCCGCCGTCACGGTCTTCTCCTCGCAAGCTTTCTTGGTCGCCAATATGACCGCCATGCCACCGTTCGCGCCGGTCTGGCCGAGACCCGTGGCGGATCCGATGACAATGTAAGCGTTGATTTCTCTATCTTTTTTCTTCAAGCATTGCTTTCTTGGTGTTACTTCGTGAAATGCAAAAATGAAAGGCAAGTATGAAAGGTAAGTATAAAGATATATGAGAAGAGCTCGATATTGGAAACTGGGAACTGGAGACAGCAAATGGAGAATAGTTCAGCATGAAGTTCAAGAACAACGAGGTACTTCGAAGTGGATGGAGGAAGAAAAAACAGTGAGTTCTGCTTCTAGAATAGAAAGACGTGGCACTAACAAGTAGGATATTACTTGTCAGAACTAAGATGAAAGAGCCTTCGATATTGTCTACCCAACTTATATCATCCGACCATTCCATACAAGACGCCGATACAGCGACCTAGGCCTTTCCACTTCCGACATTCGAACATACACCGGACTGAAGGATGCGTATCTTCATTCAAATAAAGACAGCTCAACTTCGGCTCCGTGCCGACCTACAGCGAGACAATTCATCTTGAAATCGAGACAAGCTAAGAGCCAGGATACCTTTAGTGATAAGAGCGGCTACTCCGGCAATCTGTCAGGCCTCATGTAGTCACCACCTCTGCGTGGAATATGGCCAAGAGTGTCATGGAGCCAATGCGTATGCTTGGGATGTGGGCTAGATGGAAGCTGCATTCAAATTCAAGCATGAGCAGGGAGTATACATGCTAACCTAACCCACATAGAGGAGTACGAGGTCAGATCTTGTTTTCTCCCGACATCATCCTCGGGGACCAGGTCGGGATCCGCAACGATCTCCGTAACCGTAGGGACCGCACCTCGGTGGTCGAGCAGTTCGCCTTTGGGCTGTGGAATAAGTTCTTTCTTCCACCAGGGGCCACGGGTACCTGTGTGTACGTGACGAAGAGCTGGCATCAGGCGTCGGCGCCTCATTTCACGGCCTGGCTGGTGTTTCTGTTCGACACCCCGAGAAGGGCCCAGCACTGGGCCACGGCCCATGTGTATCTGGATTTCTCAGAGTCCGTATGCACGGTGATTGATGGGCCACGGAGGTGCTGGGTCAAGAAGTCATGGCAAGAAGACTACGACGTATACGACGTGAGTTCTTCTTTTTATCTGAACACAATTTAGCAAACTGACCAACTTTGGCAAGGCGACAAGGGCGAGACCGGCACACATACCTCCGCCGCCGATGCCGCGGACGGGAGAATACCCTCCCCACTATCCTTCTCCATACAAGTACATATTTCCCATGTTGATTCAAGACTCCAAGTCACCTACTCCAATCGTTTCTCAACGATGTGGCTACAACTCGCTTGGTGGTTCCTTCGCAGATCAAGCCATTGTGTAAATTCTTCTTCTTCATTTCCACCAGCTAATCTTCTTCACTAAAGCCTGGAGGCTAGTCGCGACCGTCTTTCCGTTCTCGACTATCTCCCGGAGAGACAAGAGTCGCAGGAGCCCGATCTTCGGTATGTGTATAGAACCCCCCAAACAATCCCCACATCCTTTTCCTCAATCCCTCAAACACCTGCTCGCCCGGCCTTGGATTCATCGGGTCATTTCGGAAGTCGTGGAACAAGACGCCGTAGACGACGATGAAGCTGATCAGACTCCACTGCACCACCTTTGTCCACTTGTTCCATTGCGGCCGTATAGACTTCATCTTTATGCGGCGTTTGAACTTGCGCTCGAACCGGAACTGCTGCTTGTCCGTCAGGGCGCGCAGATTCGGCGGCCATTTCTTCTTGGCTGGGTATTTGTTGCGCGCAAAGTCAAAGGGTGGCAGTGTGTTCTCGTTGCGGCCGAGAAGGCGGTTGAAGAGGCGCAGCATGGTCGCTGGCTTCGTCGATTCGACGACGGTGATAGAGCGGCTCGTGTGACTGGTCGATTCGCGGTGTGGTTTCTTGAAGATGCTTGACTGACGTTCTTTACAGTTGAGGCACAGACCAAACAGCCCCACAATTCCTCGCACCGAAATCGAAAAAGTTGTGACTAACCCGCGAAAGCCCGCACTGGCCACCATCTTCCTCCATACACCCCTCACATCCACAAACTTTTGTTTCCGCGTCCATTCCAAATTCTTTCTACGACCGTTCTTTACTTTCTGGAATTGTCGTGATGGCGGAGGCCACAAAACTCAGCGACGCGCCAAAGAGCGCCGTCGCCGCAACCCTGGAACAACTCAAGCCGCAGGAGGCTGAGTCAAAGACACTGAAGATTGAGAATACTGAGAAGCGTGACACATTGACCGCGCAAGAGAAGAAGTATCAGAAAGCATGGGAAGAGCAAGGCGTCTTCAACCCCGACGCCCCATCTCTCGAAGAAGAACCCTTCGACACCACCACACCTGACCAACTCCACGAGAAGTACCCTAAATGGTTTGGTTGCTTTGCTTACCCGTACATGAACGGTACCCTACATGCCGGACATGGTTTCACCGCGAGTAAAGTCGAGTTTACCGCAGGTTTCCGAAGGATGACTGGCGCTCGTGCTCTCTTTCCGTTAGGTTACCATGTGACCGGCATGCCTATCAAGGCATGTGCAGACAAGTTGGTTCGGGAGGTTGAGATGTTCGGAAAGAACTTTGAACGCTGCCCTGTTGAAGATGTTGTCGAGACTTCTGTACCAGAGCCACCAGCTCCAACACAGGCTGAGACAAAGACCGACATCACCAAGTTCAAGGCACAGAAAGGCAAGGCATCCGCCAAGACTGTCAAGACAAAGTACCAGTTCCAAATCATGCTTGCCCAGGGCATCCCTCTTGAGGAGATTCACAAGTTCTCTGACCCTTATCACTGGATCGAGTTCTTCCCCCCACTTGCTAAGAAGGATCTCACAGCATTTGGAGCTAGGATAGACTGGAGACGTCAGTTCGTCACCACCGATGCCAACCCCTACTACGACAACTTTGTTGCCTGGCAAATGCGCCGCCTGAAAGCCATGGGAAAGATCATCTTTGCTAAGCGCTACACTGTCTACAGTCCAAAGGATGGCCAAGCATGCATGGACCACGACAGGCAGTCAGGAGAAGGTGTCACCGTCCAGGAGTACACCGCACTCAAGATGAAGGTTGTGAAGTGGGCAGATTCCGCCAAGGCACATGCCGACGCCGTTCCCGAGGGCGCCTCTTGCTACTTCGTCCCAGCCACGCTTCGTCCAGAAACTATGTACGGTCAGACCTCATGTTTCGTAGGCCCTGCGATCAACTACTCCTTGGTCAAGATCAACGACAACGAATACTACGTCCTTAGTGAGAGAGCCGCGAGGAACATGGCATACCAAGGTACCACTGCCAAATGGGGCGAGTACTCGATTGTCGCCACCTTCCCTGGTAAGGATGTTGTTGGCACAGTCGTCAACGCCCCTCTTTCCGTCCACAAGGACGTCTACATTCTTCCCATGGAGACAGTCAAGGACACAAAGGGTACGGCTGTTGTCACATGCGTGCCATCAGACTCGCCAGATGACTACATCACGTCCTTCGATCTCGCCAAGAAAGCCGAGTACTACGGTATCCAGAAGGAATGGGTCAAGTTTGACGACCTCCTGCCAATTATTGAAACTCCCTCTTACGGTAACCTCACCGCGAAGCACTTGGTGGAGCAGATGAAGATTCAATCCCCCAAAGACTCTGCAAAGCTTGCCGACGCCAAAGAGAAGGCCTACAAGGAAGGATTCTACAAGGGCAAGATGGTTCACGGCGACTTCAGCGGAAAGACTGTAGAAGAAGCCAAGCCGCTGGTTCGCAAGCAGCTCATCGACTCTGGTGATGCCTTCCCGTACGCCGAGCCTGATGGCAAGGTCATCAGCCGAAGTGGTGACGACTGCGTTGCAGCTCTTCTCGACCAATGGTACATGAACTACGGCACAGCAGCGAACGGCGGAGACGGTGAATGGGCTGAGAAGGTCCGCTCGCATATTGAGGGCGAGCTCAACCTTTACTACCCTGAGGCGAAGAACCAATTCTTGCGAGTCGTCGACTGGCTCAGCATCTGGGCGTGTGCTCGTTCATACGGTCTTGGTACCAAGGTACCCTGGGACCCAAGTGTGATGGTCGAGAGTCTGTCAGACAGCACAATCTACCAAGCCTACTACTCATTCGCCCACCTACTGCACAAGGACATGTTCGGAAAGGAGCCTGGTCCTCTCGGAGTTAAGCCTGATCAGCTTACAGACGAGGCTTGGGATTATGTATTCGCTCTCCGCGACCGATCTGATCTCCCGCAATCCGACATTCCCGCCAAGACTCTGCAAACTATGCGACGACACTTCGACTACTGGTACCCACTTGACATGCGCACCAGTGGTAAGGATCTCATCCAGAACCATCTGACCTTTAACCTTTACGTCCATACCGCCATCTTCCCCAAGGAGAACTGGCCCCGCAGCTTCCGTGTGAATGGACATCTGCTCCTTAACGGTGACAAGATGAGCAAGTCTACCGGTAACTTCCTGACCATCGCCGGTGCTGTCGAGAAGTTCGGTGCCGACGCTACACGTATTGCCCTTGCCGACGCAGGAGACGAGATCTCAGACGCCAACTTCGAAGAGACAGTCGCGAACAGCAACATCCTGAAGCTGTTCGAGCTCCGCAAATGGTGTGAAGACTTGATGAACGAAGCTATCTACGTTCCCAATGCAGCCGCATACATGGAGAAGAGGCAAGAAGCGAAGGTCAAGAACCCTGACGTTATCCAACGACAGAGCGGTAGCGAGCGTCTGCTCTTCGACAACATGTTTGACAACGAGATGAACTTCTTGGTTCACGAGGCATTTGGACACTACTCCAACACATCTTACAAGCTAGCTCTCAAGTCCGGGTTCTACGACTTCACCAGCGCGCGTGACTTCTACCGTGAGGCCACCAAGGCTGCGGGTATTGGTATGCACCAAGACTTGGTCAAGAAGTTCATTGAACTCCAAGCCCTTCTCCTCACACCTATCGCGCCTCACTGGGCAGAATACATCTGGCTTGAGGTGCTCAAGAACAAGGAGACCATCCAGAAAGCGCTTTGGCCCAAGGTCCCCGAGCCCAACGCTTCCCTCACCGCTGCCCGAGAGTTTGTCCGAACCACACAAACAAACATCACATCAGCAGAGGGTAACGCCATGAAGAAGCTATCAAAGGGTAAAGCCGCTACTTTCGACCCCAAGAAGGAGAAGAAGATCATCATCTTCGCCGCCAAGGAGTGGCCTGCTTGGCAGAAGAAGTACATTGATATGCTCCGCGACGCCGAATCCATCGACATCAAGGCCATCAGCAAGTCCATTGACAAGTCTGAATCCAAGAAAGCCATGCCTTTCATCAACGGTCTCAAGCGTCGTCTCGACAACGGTGAGCCCAAGGAAGTCGTTCTGAACCGTGAACTTGCTTTCGATGAGCTTGACACTCTGCGTGCTATGGTTCCCGGTCTGAAGCAGACGGTGCAGAAGTGCGTTGACGTGGAGATCATCACTGTCACAGAAGGTGGCAAGGATGGAACTGTCATTAAGGAGGACGGTAGCCAAGGTGATGCACGATCGGATCTTCCACCGCAGGCTGCTACTGCTGAGCCAGGCAGCCCGAGCTTCGCTTTCGAGAACGTCGAGAACATGCCCGTGCGATAAAGAGATGAAATGAATGTATATGGATCAAAAGGTGAAATGGGTATTGGTGTTGGATTAGGCTGGGCTTACGCTTTCTACGAAACGATACGATACGAGTGATGTGGATGGCTGAACGAATGGCATGGTCTGGAAAAGGAGGCACACTGGTAGATAGACACTGTAAGACATATATCTTATGACGGATACCTCCCGGACACCAAGCCACATCAATGCCAAAGACATTGTACTCACATATCTCTGCCTCTCAAACTGCGCATCATGTACATGCTTTCCTAAGATGATAGGCTAGTTACTCAGGGAAGTGATACTTCATTAGAAGGTGTGATGATCGTTCAATACTTTTGATCCGAGATTACATCTGTCTAATTACCCACATCGTTAGGGCAGTCTATCAGGTATATCGCCACCAACTGAATACTCTACAACTTCGCCCTCGCCTCATCCACCCTGTTACCCTGCTTGTCGAAGAAGATCTTCTTGCCATTTCTCAGACTATCCTGCAGTGCCACACCAATCTTGACCGCCTCCATTGAACTTTGCAGATCAATCGGCACCTCCTTGCCCTCGAGCACCGCATCAGTAAACTGCCTCGCCTCCTCTACAAACGCCTGCTCAAACCTCTCATAGTAGTTCTGCGGAATATCCCTGTGGATACCAGTAGAGATATGGCTCTCCAACAGTCCCGTCATGGGGTTCGAGTTGACGGCCAGCTTGCCCTTGGTACCGATAATCTCCGTCATGTCGTGTTGGCCTGGGGCGTTCATGCGCGAGGAGTAGAAGTATGCGATTTGGCCTGAGTGGAATTCTACGACACCAACGCCGTTGTCAACATCGCCATGCTTGGCTAGGTCGGGCTCGAGCGCTGTGACGCCGACGGCCATAACGGACTTCACTACAGGCAGTGTCTTGCCCTTGCTTTCGGCGGAGAAGTACCAGAGGGCGAGGTCGATGTCGTGGATGTTGCAGTCGACGAATATGCCGCCTGAGAACTCGGCATAGGCGACGAAGAAACCAGATGGGTCGTATCTGTGGGGGTTGTATGTTAGCTTATATTCCTGGATTAGGGAATCTGGAGGTTGCGCAACCTACTTGTCGCAGGTTTGTGATCGCAGGATTGTGGGACGGCCAATGTCGCCGTTGAGCGTCATGTTGTAGGCATTGACGTAGGAAGCGTCGAAGCGACGGGAGAAACCACACATGACTTTGACGTGGGGATTGCGCTTGGCTGTGTCGAGGACTTGGTGGACCTAGGTACTGCTGTCAGTCGCGCGCTCTTCTGGATCCAGGTATAGCGATTCACGTACTACGTCCAGCTTGGTGCTGAGCGGCTTCTCACACAATACATGCTTTCCAGCCTCGATGGCCTTGATTGTGTGCTCGGCGTGTACGGTGGTAACAGTAGCTACACAGACAGCCTCGAGACCCTCGTGCTTCAGCATCTCGTCGTAGTCGGTGTAGATCTTGACGCCCCATGGCTCGAGGTTCTCCTTTGCCCACGCAATCTCATTCTCAGCTGGTGTGAAAGCTGCTACGAGCTCAGCCTTGGGTGTGCGGTGAAGGAAGTGGTTTGCATGGCGAGCACCCATGCGACCAAGGCCTGAGACGGCGACGCGGAGTCTGCGGACAGCTGGTGCCATTGTGAAGGATGTACTGGGATGAAAGGAGGTAATGGACAAGTTTGCAAGTGAATGAGCTCTACAGGAAATCAGCGAGGCCCAGAGTGATGAGATATAGGCTGCAATGCGCACCTACGGGAATACACCGACTTTCAATCGCCAAAGATGTGCTTGGTCAAAGCTTCTCTCAGGGTCCAAGCTAAGCTCGACGACGCAATCTGAGCCTTTCGTGCATGTTCGTTTACACACTTCACCAGGGACAAAACTCGGGGAATGCAGATTCCACAACTACGTCCAGAAGTCGACCATCACGCTTCCCCAGCATACTCCCCAGACTGCGGCGACATTGCCTACGCTGAGCGGTGCATTGCTATGTTTGGATCGGATCCTCGGCACGAGTATGGCGACGAGAAGAGTCGGAACGCGGAAAACCTGTGGAGAAATGCATATCGTTGTTGACGCAAAGTGTGGGGAACGCGTGGAGTCGCGTCGCGCCAGGCACAGCTTGTCGGACTTTGACGAATGGGGAAAATCTCCTCTTTCGAACAGCGACCTGGGGCGAAATTGCCCCGCGCAAAGTAGGTGGCTTGCGTCAGAAACCGTTCACTAACCCCAGAGCTAAGATGCAAAGATTTTGGCGCTGCAGAGGCGGCCTGTAATGCTGGGGAAGGTTGGGGTTGCCGTGGCTGTGAAGGAAAAGGAAGGGTTAGCGACACTTCACATGCTTGCAGCCGGGGTACCTTGATGCTTCCCCGCATACGTCACTTGTTTACCAACACCGACAAAGGTACAGAGCCGAAAACATAGGATTGAACGTCTTGTTCTACTGAGAACTACGCGAAGCATGTTAAGCGAGCTTGAGATCTTGACTGCATGCTTCTGTTGCTATATCTTCTATCACCTATGAACACCAAATTCGACTTTTTCAAAGATTAGCCTTGTCTTCCTCGCCAGTCTCAAGCACAACTTTGATGACTAGCTTTCCATTATCGTCCTTTGTCTTTCCTGCCATCTCAAACGCTTCGACGGCCGACTCCAAGCCCTTGTAGGTATGTGTTACCAACTTGGCAAAGGCAGGGTAGTCATCGCCCTGCTTTGATACGACTTCGATACCAGTGGGGTATGTATTCGCATATCTGAATACACCAACGATGTCGACCTCGCGGAGAGCAGCTGCGGAAATGGGAAGCGTCTGGATGGGTGTACCCATACCAATTAGCAGAACTTTGCCACCTGGTCGTGTTGCCTGAATCCGTTAGCATATAGCCAAGTCAGCTGTGTTGGCGCAACTTACGTATATCGATGCTTGCACACAAGACGGCACACCTGTGCACTCGAATACGGCATCCACCTCGCCAACTTCACCACCACTTTCCTTTGACAGCTTTCCGACCTCGGCAGCTACCTCCTTCGCGATGTCCAGTTGCTCTTCTATTGTGCTTCCACGCTTCATAGGCACTGTGAAGCTGCGATGCGCAAACTTGTTCTCGACTGCGAATTGTACTCGCCCAGCATCGATATCTGCTATCACCACTGTGCCAGCACCTGATATCTTGGCCATAGCCGCGACTAGCAAGCCTACAGCTCCGGCTCCAAATACCATGACGGTTGAACCTGGTGCTAATTGTGCACGTTTTGATGCTTGGATGGCGACACTCAGAGGCTCAAGGAGGGCCCCTAGATCTAGAGACATATCCTCTGGTAGTCTTCTCATTGTTAGTCTCTCTAGCAATTATAACAGGCGCGACACTCACTTGTGGCACCAAGCAGCTGGGTGATTGATACGGTCTTGTAAAGTGCCCTGGGCGTGCGGAAATGCTTTCGCACTACTCCGGAACTTCATGCCTTTGCAGATGTTGTACCGCCCTTCTTTGCACCTATCGCAGTTCTCACACGGCTGTCCAACTTCTAGTGCGACCTTGTCTCCGACTTTGAAATTCGATACCTCTGAGCCTACGTCTACTACTACGCCAGCTGACTCGTGACCCAGCGACATTGGTTCTCGCACGATAATATCGCCATTGCGGTAGTGCCTGTAGTAATGGAGATCTGAGCCACATAGACCGGTGCTGCGGATGCTGATTTGGAGCTCTGTGGGGGAAGGTGGGAAGAGTGAGCGGTTTTCCTGCCTTCCTGTTAGCACCTTCAAGCTTGAGGGAGTATTTTTGCCGCATACAATTCGTAGGTCCTTCGCGCCATGGAGGACTGAAGCGCGAATTTGCCTTGGGGCGTCTGACGTTTCTGTTGAAGACATGTTGTCGCTACGTATGGTGGAATCAAGTTAGAAATGTATAAGTGAAGCTTCGAGGCGCGTTACACAGCGGTATTCAGCTTTACAATGATGCAGAGTTGAAGTTAGGAAACAAGGAAAGGTTCAAGCATCAGGTCATCTCGCAAGGCATCGGAAGCTATTACGCGCCAGACAATCGGCGCGCTTTGCCTCATAGTATAGCATGCATCAGATGGAGACAAATTCCACCTTCGGCGTTTGAAATAGCGGGACAGCAGATGCCGACGCATGCCCAGATGGTGGGGTTGACCCTTTCCGAGGCAGTTCCGAGCTACCCAAACATCGAGCTGCAGGAAAAGCCGTCGACTTCTGCCGCAAGCTTTCAAACTTCTTGATTGACTTGCATTAGGTTCTTGAAGAACTTTACCCAGACTTCCTGTCATTTTAAGGTCAATATACAGCCTTGGAATCTCGATAACAGCTTTAATTCTTCTCTGAAGCTTTCCGAACCACACCAAGCAAGACAGCCAGTATGACATCTGTACAGCAGCTCTTCTCGCTCGAGGGCCAGACAGCCCTCGTAACAGGTGGCACGCGAGGAATTGGTCAGTCAATGGCCATCGCCCTCGCAGAAGCAGGAGCGGATATCCTCCTCGTCCAAGTACGCCCTCACTACCCTCACCCAATCCCCACAGCTGCTAACAACCTCTCCCCAGCGCGATACCAGCAACCAAACTACCAAACAAAAGATCGAGTCCCTCGGCCGCAAAGCCACAATCTACACTGCAGACCTCTCCTCCAAATCCTCCATCACCGCCCTCATACCCAACATCCTTTCCGACGGCCACAGAATACACATCCTGCTCAACTGCGGCGGCATCCAAAAGCGGCATCCCGCGCACCAATTCCCAGACGAGGACTGGGACGCCGTGCTCCAAGTAAACCTAACTTCTGTCTTTCAACTCTGCCGCGACGTAGGCGCACACATGCTCAGCCAACCCGCGGATCTTCCCCTAGGTCGCCGCGGAAGCATCATAAACGTGGCTTCGTTGCTCACGTTCCAGGGCGGCATTACTGTACCAGCATATGCCGCGAGTAAAGGTGGTGTGGGACAGCTTACCAAGGCGCTGAGCAACGAGTGGGCGAGTAAGGGGGTTAGTGTGAATGCGATTGCTCCTGGATATATTGCTACGGACATGAACGAGGCGTTGATCAAGGACGAGAAGAGAGCGGAGAGTATCCTCAGTCGTATTCCGGCAGGGAGGTGGGGAGCGCCGGAGGATTTCAAGGGCGCGGTAGTTTTCTTGGGAAGTGCGGCGAGTGCGTACGTGAGTGGGGAGGTGCTTACTGTTGATGGTGGGTGGATGGGTAGGTAGATTGATTGACTGATCGCTAGAGTTGCACGACAGAGGAGGCAACGTTTAATGATAGACTTTTTCCTTTATATTCATGAGCTTGACATGTTCTTTGTGTCTCTCACCAGTTTGCATGACCTCTCAACTATCACATAGGCTGTTTCAAGATCTTGGAAATTCATAACAATTCATTGGGTATAGCGTTTTAGTCCTATCCTAGATGCAACACCTACAACTTGCTTGCCTCAAGTAGTCAAGGTCCGCTGAGATCCATGCCCTCAGGCTTATCCGGGAATCCAGCATTGACACCAAACGGCGGGTATACGCAGCGGGTGATGCCCTTCTCTTTGTGAATCTTCTCCAGCTTCTCCATGTCCTCGCCATCGAGGGAGATGAGCTTCTTGTTCTCGTCGATGCGGGATGGAGTGACCGACTTTGCGAGGACGGAGGAGTTGCGGGCGACTTTGACGAAGTTAGTTGGGTGCTCGAGAAAGCATATGTTTGGTCAAACTTACGGTGGTAGCTCAAGAGAATGACGGCGGGGGTGACGCTGTGCTTCTTTGCGACCTCGTTGACGACCTCGTCCTTGAAGAGAGGCGAGCCAGTGCTTCCTAGCGGACTGTAGGCTGTGATGTGGATGCCCTTCTCCTTGCAGAAGTCAACAACTTCTTGTTGTGGGCACAGTGGGTGGTTCTCGATCTGGTTGACAGCGGGGACGATGGTGGCCTTGGCCAAAAGCTTCTCCATGTACTTGACAGAGTAGTTGGAGACACCAATGGCCTTGACCTTGTCGGGATGCGACTTGATCAGGTTCTCGAGGTTCTTCCATGTGTCTTGGTGGGTGATTGAGGTGTCAATGTCTCTTGAACCGTCCTCATGCTTGGGGAAGAGGGGGTGGTTGCCTGTAAATGTTAGTTTTGGTGTGCCCATAAGAGATAGTAGACTTGCCCTTGGGGTTCATGGGAACGGGCCAGTGCATGAGGTAGAGATCAACGTAAGGTGTCTTGAGCAGATCTAAACTCTTTTGCAGACCCTCCTCAGCACGGGTGTGGAATGTGCACCAGAGCTTGCTGGTAATGAACAGGTCCTCCCTCTTCACAATTCCTCGCGAGATGACATCCTGGAGCGCCTCGCCGACCTCGTCTTCGTTCTGGTAGCAGAAGGCACAGTCAATGTGTCTGTAACCACTCTCGATAGCGTGGACAACGGCCTTCTTGACCTCGCCAGGCGCAGACTGCCACGTTCCGAGTCCCAGAGCGGGGATGGTCGCGCCAGTGTTGAGGGGGATAGCAGTGTTCATTTCGGGCTGTGGGTTGAGGATACTTTTGGGTGTACTTTTGAGCATAAACTTGGAGAGAGCGGGATTCATCGCGACTCAGTGGTATGCTTGGGGTATTAGTAGTAGCAGCGGGGATGTTGCTGGCCAGGGGCTGGCTTGCTCGCATTTGCTTGGGAGCTCCATACTGTGGCTGAATTTTACCCTTCTGGTATGGCTAAAGACATACGTCAACCGTTGATTGACTCTATAATTCATCCCGACGTCCGATGCTGCCCCGCCATGCTTGCCCCGCCGGTGTAGCTTCGGTCCGGGGGCTGCGAGATGGCTTCTGATACGCGCTCGACGCGCTTCAGCCTCACGCGAAATTTTCGCAGCAGGAGTTGCCCAGACAAGCCAACGTGTTCGTGGGGTGTTGTCGGGGAAGGTGGCACCGAGCATCACGTGCCTGGAGGGGCTGAGCCTGGTCCCAGGATGTTGCCAGTCGGGTCGTCATCATGCAGCACGTTTTCTGATCATCGGTGGCCCAGCCGAGTGTTCGCGACGAAGAGAGGGTCCATCGGCTGTTGGGGCGGCGACAATTACTGTATGCAGACGGAGCGGGCAGAATTGCACCCTCTGACCCCATGCGGACGCGCACGATGCACTCCCGTCAAACGGCGGCAGATCTAACGCAAGCATCCAACCACCACGGGCGGAATGCACACCAGGACCCTTAGTCGCGTTTCCAGAACCCCAGATCTCCTCTGGCTCCTCAACGGCAGATGAGCGTGACGGCGAGAATTGCCTGACATTGCAGTTTTACTCCGGTACGATTGGCTCGACCCTATCTGCTGGCAGACTGGTGCGGAGTGACCTCGACGAGTGGATCTCAAAGATGGAGACGATGAGAAATCTTACTCCAGAATTTCAGGCTCGGCAGGCTGGGGTTACTTCGGACGTAATGATGTCTGCTGGTTCTGGCAATACAACGCTTCGTTGTGTGGTAGCGGGCAAAGGATAAGTACTGCTCTCATCTTGTCGCATTCTCTACACATCAATCAACTAACTTCCCATCTTCATCACCTCTTCAACAACCATTCCATAGCGTACCGCATTTCTGCACTTTGCATACTTTTAAGATACCCCTCTTCTTGGCCCATTACATTTCGCATCATGGCACCAGGCGCAATCTTCGAAACGCCCAATGTGGCTGAGAACTTCAACGACCACCGCGATGGTCTTGCTCTAGAAGCCACTTCCGACGCCATTGACGATGTCAACGTCCTCAAGGCCGCCATGAAGGTCAAGAACGGCACCGCAACACAGAAAGAGAAGGACATCTACGAGAAATCCGAATTCGATGCTGAGAAGGACAAGACCCAGTTCCGCCAGTACGAAGAAGCATGCGACCGCGTGAAGAACTTCTACCGCGAGCAGCACGAGAAGCAAACCGTCGGCTACAATCTCAAGGCGCGCAACGCCTTCCACGCCAAGACACGCGCAGAGATGACCATCTGGGAAGCAATGGAGAAGCTCAACACACTCATCGACGAATCCGACCCAGACACCTCCCTCTCGCAAATTGAGCATCTCCTCCAGTCTGCCGAAGCCATTCGCCGCGATGGAAAGCCGCGTTGGTTCCAGCTTGTAGGTCTTATTCACGACCTCGGCAAGCTCCTTTTCTTCTACGACGCCCAGGGCCAATGGGACGTAGTTGGCGACACATTCCCTGTCGGCTGCGCCTACTCTCCCAAGATCATCTACCCCGACACTTTCAAGAACAACCCAGACTACAAGGATGAGATCTACAGCACCGAGCACGGTATCTACACACCTGGCTGTGGCATGGACAATGTCATGTTGAGCTGGGGCCACGACGAGTACCTCTACCACATCATGAAGGACCAGAGCACCATCCCTGACGAGGGTCTTGCTATGATTAGGTACCACTCATTCTACCCGTGGCACACTGGTGGTGCGTACAAGTGGATGATGAACGAGAAGGATGAGCGCATGCTGGAGGCCGTCAAGGCGTTCAACCCTTACGATCTCTACAGCAAGAGCGACGAGGTTCCTAAGGTTGAGGATCTCAAGGAGTACTACTTGGACATCATTGATGAATTCATTGGCAAGGACAAGAAGCTTAAGTGGTAGACGATAGTAGTATATCATGGTAACGAATCTCTTTGATCTGGGCGTTTGGGTTATATAATGACGCGGAGTGCCAACAAGGCCCGCGATGCAATTCATTCTTGACCTCATCTATTCATCCCAACCTCTTGCTGTGCTTTGCGAACGGTATTTTGTAATGTTGCTGGAGGTGCTGTTACACAGGCTGCATACTCTGCATCATCGTTATGAACACCCCTCGTTACACATGGCCATCTCCACTCCGATAAAACCTCGCTCTTCATCCCCTAAAACTTCATCAACCCAGTTCCGAGGAGGGTCTCAAGACATCCTCCCCACACACAGATGGGGCAAGCATCGCCATCGTTATGCGAGTGACAAACCACATGATTACACGGCTCACTAACCTGCTCCGCCTCCTTCAGCATATACTCATATCTTTTTGCTTCTAGTTCCTAGATTCCGTGATATGATTCACAGTAACAGTATTCACGCAATCTTGGCAGGAGATACCGAACACATTCCTATGTATACACGCCGCATGCTTGTCGGTAAATGCGCGATGAGTGAGAAGCTTGCGCTTGACGGAAGACATTTTTCGACATTTTTGTGGGTGACATAACTGATCGTGAATGGTATTAATTTTCCTTGAACCCGTAGCTTTACTGCACTGATTGTTCAAGTAAAGATCCTGCCTGGACCGCTCATTTACAGCGTTACCAGCAGGCCAATTGATAATAGACAAATTCATCTTCTTCCAAAAATAGCATAGCCTGATGCTCTCACTTGCTCCCTTTTCCTTCTCTGGTGATCGTACGCTATTGTGGCAAATGGCTCTTACAACTTCGATGTCTTCTCTTCTCTTTCCTTCAGATTTGGATGTGCCACCCTAACTGGCCTCGTGACAGCATAGAAGGCCATACCGCTGGACTTGGTAGAAAACTGAACCTTGGATCCTACGTGAAAGAACGCGAAGTCGCCAGCGACAAGGTGATGTGTGATCCCGGTTGCTTCATCCAAGACATCGATTTGACCGCTTAGAACATACTTGGTCTCTTCAAAGTTGTAAGATGCGGGTTTGGAGGGCCCAGCTTCGATCTTATAGAAGCCAGATGTCAGATGTGCGGGTGAGTCGGTGGTTTGTGTGCGGATGCTGCTCAGAGGTTAGATCGTTGAGGAGAACTTATGAGATGGTGTGGAGAAACGTACGTGTGGAAATCTGCTACGGTGGCGTTGTCGCCTTGTGGAAGTGGGATAAACTCATGACCTGCGCCCTTGATGACGGTAAGAGGTACTAGATTTCCAGACACTATACAAGTGAAGCACATTAGCGATGTGACGATGCGAAAGAAGGGTCTAGTGGATGGGGGGCTGAACTTACTTTTCGGTATGATTTAGTGTGCGTAAAGTGGAAGCGACTCGATGTCCAGTGCTGCAGAAACATACGAAGCTCATTATAAGAGATCATGATGATTGTGTTCGTGGCTCATCCCCACAACGTATGAATGCGATAGTTGCCCTAATTCGGTAAGCCGTGCCTGACTGCCCAGATCGGGTAAGCCCCACACCCGCACTTGCTACAAACTACGTAATGAAGAAACCAACTAAAGCTAAAGGACGATGAACGAAAAGCGGTTACGAACGGTGCTAGCCAGATCATATCTCTAGTGGACTACCTCCAACTGCTGCCGCGTACTTACCTATCCATGAGAATGACCCCAAAGAGCTATTGCGATTATCTCACTCATAGAGGACAGCTTTAACGAGTAACATGAGAAAACCGCCAACAATCCTGTTGAGAAATCTCGATTGGAATATCAGTTGCTTGTAACACTGTACAGGTACAAGTTCACCAAGGTCACGTGTATGACAGATGCTCTATGTCGATCTCCTCTTTGCAATGTGTAAATCGTAGCTTGTTTCTCGGGTCGAGAACTGTCAAATCTGCAACCAAATACAATGTTATTAGGCTCGCTCCAGGCGCCAATTCACAGTCATAATTTAGCAATAGATGATAAAGAGCAATCTCAAGCACATGGGCTGTGAAGAAGCGTCCAGGACACGCCTGTGTTCCATGGCCAGATGTGAGATTCTCTGGACCAGTAGAGACGAGATAGGCTTTCTTGGAGGTATCATCTACAGAACCTTGTCGCACTCGAAAGTAATGTCAGTAGTTAAAACGCTTTGGGCCGGTATACACTTCTGGATCTAGCATATTACCGCCGTCGACAGCGACATGCTGGCCAAAGGGTGCTGCTTGCCCATCTGCCGCACGACTCTCTTGCAACAGCTACATCTCACCAACTCACAGCCAACCAAACACACAAATCCGAGGAAAGAAACTCATTGGTTATCTACCTAATACCAAACTGAAGCCTCAAAGGGAAAGAAACTTCAGAAGAAATAACCCAGTCATCCTCAACCCGATACGAGCAGTCTCGCATCAGCAAAAAGACTTGGGCCTGCACTCCCAGCCTTTCCATGTGCTCGACCGACTCGCATCAGATCATCGTCATCTCGTAAACTCATAAACACTAAACTCCTCCAATCCTCCAATTTTGCTCATACTCGTACAATCACTCTCATCCCCATCCCCACCTTAGGGTATATCCTGTGCACAACCTCCCTGCGCCTGGCAATGCAAAGAGAGTTCGTAATATGTAATATCGAAAAGTTGCTATCGTGAGTAAGGGAAAAACCCGTCGTACTAGCAAAAGTCCGTGAAAGCGAGCCAGTGAGGTGCTTCTAGGCGAATCCAAAGTACTCGCCACCAGCCGTCATAGCGGTGTACAAGGCTTTACGCAGATCCTCATAAGTTTCATACTCGGGGAGATCAAGTTCTGTTCCATCATTAGCTTCTGCTTCCAAAAAAAACATTAAATCGCTGCTGGGGGATGAAACTTACGGTTAAAGCAAGTATGACTACTCGGCAAACGATCCTTGCTCCCATAATCGCGATGAATGTTGAATTTGCTGAACCCGTTCATGCCCTCGAGTTCCTTGAAACCATTCAGTGGCACCTTGCTAGTACCAGTAACGAATTGCAGCAGCTTGGCCTGCTCTTCCTTCTCGAACGTTCGGACAGCGCGCCAGAACCATTGAATCTGTGGTGAGGCGGCCGTGTAGTTGTGGTACTCGGTGTTGTTCTTCCAGTCGTCCACGTTGATGTCAGGAAGACCGGAGATGAGAAGTTCGAGTTCTTGTTCGCTGAAGATGGAGACGAGTTCAGCGGGGACGATGTCGTGGAAGCCCTTGAGGAAATTCTCAAGTTGCTCTTGGACGGCACCGACAAGACGGTGCTCAGTGATGAGGCGAACGTACTCGTGCTTGTTGTCTTCGGTGACCGGAATGTTACGACCGTTCTCAATGAGGTCGACAGTCTGCATCTCACCGAAGGCCTCGACTTCCACTGAGAAGGTTTCCGTGATAATGTCCGTGATTTCGTTATGAATCATCCATTCCAGGGACTTGTAGTACTCCAGATCAAGTGTCTCCATGTCCTTGAGGCTAACCTGCTTACCCATGATTTGCTTGTAGACCGCTCGGCTGAAATGGCAGTCCAGAACGCGACCTTCGTAGAGCGCTTTACCGATGATGCGACCAATGAACTTGAAGAACATCAGATGCTCAGGGTTGATAGAACTGAGGCGGTTGGGGTGGAATGTCGTGCGATCGGAAGCAACAGGTACGAAGAGAGCGTAGTCGGCGTTGAACATCTGGCGTGAGATGGACTGGAACCATTCGCGAGTAACACCACCAGCGTCAACACCTTCTTCGCCGTGGAAGCGGATGCTGAGCTTGCCAAACTTCATCTCGTCGGCTGACTTGAAGTACAGCGACTTGAAAGAGTCCAAGAAGACTTGGTCTCGGCGGACAGAAAGCTGCAGAGGCGGATGTGCTTGTCGGTCGCCGCCTCGGGAGTGGAGTTTTCGGTTGAAGTAGTTACGCTTGTTGTCGAACTCCAGTACCTTGGAATTCTTGACGAGAAGAGAGAATGTGCCACTCATCAACTTAGGATTCTGGCGAACAAGATCGTTGAGAATCTTCCTATGCTCTTCAGTGAAGTTGAAGAACAGATTCTCCATCCTGCTTTCAGGCGGTGGGCTAGATAAGGCGAATTCCTTGGGCATCATCTTAGACAAGGGCATCTCCTTGAGAGTAGTGTTCTTGCACACAACCATGAGACTCTCAATCAGCGGAAGGAGTGTGGTAGCGATATTGAGCATGTTGCCACGCTGGCGGATGACCGTCAGACACTCACTAAGCTTCTCCCACAGGGGCGCGAAAGCTCGATCCTCATACAAGGTCAAGAGGATATCTTCCTTTTGAGCGGGCTCGAGTGCCTCTGCAGCAGATTCAGGCTTGTCCCTGCTGTCACGTGATGGATCAAAGAGATAGTCAAGTGCCGTCAGGGCCCGGAGCAGTTTAGTTTGGTCGGAGCTTGCTGGGGAGAATTTGGCAAGTGCGATGCCTTGGACATCAGTAGGCGAGCTTGCCTTTGAGACTTGAACCGTCAAGCTGGTAAGGTCATGGAGTGTTGAGCTGGCCAGATCCTTAGCAATCCCCAGCAATTCTTGGCCAAAGACCTCCTTCGCACCAGGTATGGGCGAAAGATTGCTGATGACGTTGAGAGTCTCCTGGAATACTTTACTATTGCATTCCCGAGCAGCCAGAATCTTGGCGACAAGTCGAAGGTTGACTTCAGGCACATCGGGCGGTGTGAGAGTGCGGTGTTTCTTCGTCTTGTCGTCTTCGGCCTTTGACTCGTCAGGCTTGGAAATGCTACCTTCGCCCTCAGCAGTAGCGGTTTCAGACTGAGCAGCGTTTTCAGAAGCGGTCGTCATCTCCGTATCTTGGCCTTCAGGACGAGCCTCTATGGCTGCAGTATCGGCAGGCTGGTTCTCGGTGGCCTGGCCATCCGCAGATGTCTCGGCCTCCTTCTTCGCCTCTTCAGTAGCCTTCTCCTTCTCCTTTTTGAGAACCTGCAGCGGTGCGGTGATGACCTTCAGCAGTGTCGTCAATTGCTCCATGATGGTGGAACTCTCAACGATGAGCTTGCGGTCGAGCAAGGTAAGTAAAGCGTTGACCGGATACCTATTCGCCTTGGTCTCTTTAGCCTTGCCCTTGCGATTGGCGCGGTTCTTGAATCCAACGCCCGTCTCATGTTCGGTCAGGAAGAATTGCCAGACAGCGGGGTTCTTCTCTGTCAGCTGGGTAAGCGTGTTAAGACATTGCTGAACAACCATAAGTGGAGAGACGTCAGCGTTGATTGATAAAGCGCCGTTTTTGCGGGAGATCTTCGGGGTCTTGTCCGCTGGTTGCTGAGGCTGCTTGGCTCGAATTGACAGTTGCGCGAAGCTCTTCTCGACAGCATTTACGTCAGCACTTCCATCTTGAAGAATGCTGAGCAGGATGCTGATGACCTCTGCACGATTTTGGCGATTCTCACAAACGTAGCGCAAGATGGAGCTCAGGCTACCCTTTGCGCTTCCCTGCTGTGGGATGAACATGAGTCTAAGAAGTGTCGCGACACCGGCTTTGTCAAGCATTTGTACACAAGGACGAGTCTTCTTCTTCTGCGACGGATCATCAGGCTGGGCACGGCGATCACCTCGTCTATAGCCGAAGTCGTTGAACTGATGTAACCGACGATCACCTCCCATCGCTCGAGCTTCTGCAGATAATTCTGGTGGTAGCTGGCGCAAGATGTCTTCGTCCGTATCCATGAGCACAGCAGCTCGTAGATTAGGGTCCAGTGACGCGAAGAAGCTTGCAGGATCCATCTCTTCTGCTTGTGGAGGAGGGGCACCAGCGTTGGCTTGGTTGCGACGGCGATTCTCTTCGCGCTCTCGGCGTCGACGCTCTTGTGCTTCTTGCGCAAGCAGCTCGGCTCGAATATCTGCAGGAAGTGCTGCTAGGAAGTCCTCGTTGATATCTGTAGGAACTTCACCTGCTGCTCCTGCCTCTTCGGGTGCAGCAGGAGCTTGTGCTTGTGCCGGGGCTTGCGACTGCTGCTGCGCTTGTTCTTGTCGTCGTGCTGCAGCCCGTTGTTCTGCTCTACGCTCAGCCACCTGCTGCATCAAGACTTCTTCACGTAGATCTTCAGGAAGAGCGTCCAGATACTCGGTGTCGATACCCAGATCCGTAATGTCGTACTCATGACCTCGAATCATGGTCGTGATACGTTGTGGAGGTGGCCCAGCAGGTTCTGCAGGGGTCGACTCAGCAGCGGCGGGTTGTGTCGAGGATTCTCCAGCCTCAACGCCCTCCATCGCTTGCGCTTCCGGTGCAGTCTCAGGCTCCGCCTTGGATTCGTCCTCTGCAGGTTGCTCTGGAGCTCGGCTCGCGGCTTCAGCGGCTTCGCGTTCCTGTCGCTCGCGATCCTCCTTTTCTTGTGCCTCACGTCTCTCGCATTCTTCACGCTCCTGCTTCTCCTTCTCCTCTTGCTCTTCCTTAAGCTTGCGGGCGACTTCTGCCTGGCGCTCTTCTAGACGCTTCTTCGCTGCCTCCATGGCGGGTGGAACCATGACTTTTAGGATGGAGTTGATGACCCGGTTGCTCTTCTCGATTGCCGCAGGGCCGTAGAGAATTCTAGCTTCTTCCTGCCAGCGCTGGCTGGTGTATACCTTGGCGAAAGCTACCGCAGAGTGTGGGTCTTCGCGAGCAGTGCGCGATGTGTAGTTCTCTCGCATGCGAGCAATATCACGGCGCATACCACTATCAAAAGGTGGCATACCCATGGAGTTGCTGAAAGAAAGATGCAGCGCGCCACCATGCTGGTGTAATGTCGGACCGCTAGCGCCGGAGCTCATCGCGTTCAACAAGTTGCTGATGAATGAGACAGGGCTGTCATTTTGACTAAAGACACGAGGACCGCGACCTTCGATGGCGTGAACCCAGTCGCTGTTGCCTTCGTTGCGTGGTAGGCCATCTCGTCCAGCGGAGCGACCGCCTCGCTGAAGCAGAGGGTTAATACCATCGTCAGTGACGCGGGGACCAGCACCTGGGCGATGTGAGCGGTAAGCTGGTACAAGGATGCGATCGCCTGGACCTGCTGGGAACATCCATGGACTGAGGCGGTGGGTATGTCGAACAGTAGGGGGTTGAGGGTCTTCCCAGCCACCACCCCATGCAATTTCCGGCATGGCGTCGTCGTCGTCCTCCATGCCAGGATCGTAGTGAATATCTTCGTCATATTCCTCTTCCTCATCATCCATATCTAATTGGGTTAGTTGGGGTTCAAGATGTTGTTCTATCCTATGCAGTAACGGACCTTCTTCTTCCATGTTGTCATCTAGGAAATCCTCGAGATCTCCGCCTTGCTGACGCATCTGCTCAAGAAGCTGAGGTGGATCAAGGACGAAGCCCAGCGCGCCCGGCGGCATGTTAGCGTCGCCGTTGGGGCCACCAGGGAAATCGTCTGGATCGTCGCTCCAGTCATCCTCTTGGTCCTCGGCGAGGCTAGCGTTCTCGTCATCACCTGTCACCTCTTCCATAGCGTCCATGGCCTCTTCCATATCATCCATGCCATCGTCACCATCATCATCCATATCGTCCATGTCATCATCGTCCTCATCCTCGTCGTCTTCCTCATCATCTTCTGAATCATCATCAGAGCCCATGGCGTTGCCATCATCGTCAAGTTCGATCTCAACATCGACATCACCAGGAAGACCTTCAATTGGACCCATGCCATCGATGTCCATCTCGAGGATTTCTTCATCGTCATCGGAAACGACATCGTCGTCACCAATATCGCCTTCATCGTACTCCATATCATCCGCGTAAGGGTCATCGTACATCATCTCTTCACCCTCTTCATCTTCCGAGTCTTCGTCCGATTCTGACTCGTGGGCTTCGAACATGCCCAGTGTGGAGTTGCGGAACAAATCAGGCGTCTCCTCGCGCCCGTTGCCAATGAGATCGTCATCGGATGCGGTCGAAATCTCGTACTCATCGGCGGAGTCTGGGGCTGAAGAGGTATCGTAGTGCATACTCAGATCCATGGCGACGTAACAAAGCCACTTTAGAGGCTTGAGGATGTACTTAACCACGCGCTTAGCGTTCGGGAAGTTGAGGTCGATGTCTGAGATCGCCGTTGTGAGGATAGTGACAAAGTTCTTCTCATACATGATCTTTGCCATCTGCTTCAGGTTAGGAGTCAGATCGGCGTTCTGGGTAAGCATCTCGCCATTTGGACGCTGCGACACCATCCTGGAGAAGATGTCGGCGATACTTAGCAGACGAGAGTACTTCATGTCGAGCGGCTCGTCCGAAGCGTTGGCATCCTTAAATGCCTTCAGGGCATGCTCAAGGACGAACTTGCGCACGAAGAGTAAGTCTGGCTCAGCCTCAACATATGGTGAGATCGGCACATCGGTCTTGGGCAGGGCAAACTCTCCAGTCTTGTTGCAGAGCGAAACGATAAGGTCGATTGCGCAGTTCGATGTCAACAGCTTCTTCTTGAAAGCAAGGTCCCCTTCATGGTTCAGGCTCCCGATAGGAACAACGTTATTGAGGAGATAGTTCAGGACGCCCGAGCGAGGCTTCGATGGTGTCACGGTGTAAGGGTCTGCCTTCCTGGAGAAGTTGATGAATTCAATCTTTGTGCGGTTGTAGCTCTGTACGAGCTCGGAGAGACACTTCAAGATGAAGCAGCGGTAGATGTAAATTGGATGCTCTTCGGCCTTGAATACGGGTTTTTCGGGTTTGGCGGCCTCAGTGGAAGCAGCAGCAGGGGCGGCAGTAGCGGCGTCTGAGCCCGACTCATTGCTTGCCTGCGCTTCAGGTGCGCTCTCTTTTGGCTTGGCAGCCTCAGGCTTGTCCTCTGCTTCCTTATAAGCTAGCAGCTCGCAGAGCAGGTAGTGGATGACGCCGTCAGGGTTCTCAACTACAGGAACCTTGAGATCCGAAGTCTTTGTTCGCTCGAGGAATGGCTGCTTAGGCGCTTCGCTAGATTCCTTTGGTTTGTCAGCCTCCGCAGTGACCTCCGAGGATTCCACGATGCTCGCTCCTTCAGTTGAAGGTGGCTCAGTCTTCTTGAGCATCAGAGCTTGTGGTCGCTGGTTGGGATCGAAGCCCTTGAGCTGGAGTTTCTCGTTGGTGACTTTGACGAAGATCTCGGGTGCACGAATGGCTAGCGCGTACATCTGGCGAGTGTAGCCAGTAGTGTCTGTCTGTCTTCGGTCGCGCGACTCAAACATCTGCTGAATCTCGGTACGCATGATCTGTCGAATCATCTCGTCATCTTCGATCATGTGGCGGAGGACAATCATGAAAGCGCTACGCAGGCCTTCGTTGGTGATGCCCGCAAGTTGCTTGACCATAAGGAACAGCCGCTGAATGTTGCGCTTCTCTGCGAGACGGGTCGCTATCTTACGAGTGCGGGTAAGCATGGCCAGTACTCGTGTCACGGATAGAGCCAACGACTCATCCTTCCCGATGCGAGGCAGCATTTCGATAATTGCATTGAACAGCAGATCTTTCTCCTCGACACTGACAATCGGCTGTGGTAGCTCGTCAACTGTGGTCTCTTCTGTTGACTCTTCCGTTGGCGGAGTCCATGAGATTTGGTGCGGAAGTTGATCCTCAGCTAGTAGTCGTTCGACGATAAGCAAGACCTGGCCGATCCAAGGCGATGAATCTTCCGGAGATTGATCTGGGAAGATTTTGATGAAGCCCAGCAACGTAGTGAAATGTTCCTTAAGCTGCTCAACAATGACATCGTAGAAATCCTTCTCTTGTAGTATCAAGGCCAAAAGATGGGCTGAAGCTGCTATCTTCTTGCCCTGATTTCGGAAGTCGTCGTCACTCTGCAGTGACATGAGAGACTGCACTAGCATCATGCCAATCTCCCCACGCATCTCGGATGGATCTGGTGCCTTTGAAACGGCGGCTGAGATGAGATCGGCAAGCTCGAAGGTGACATCCTCGTGCGTGTTGAGCACGTCAAGAGATTGCTCAACAAGTCTCTCACGGAGCTTGGTTCGCTGTTCATCCAACATGTCTAGTGCAACAAGCTGTGTTGTATTTCCGTTAGCCATCCGCTTTTGATAAGCAAGAGTATCCTGCGGTACAGCAGGTGCCTGACTCGGCTGATCACCCGGTACAGGTGTAGTAGACGTAGGCGCTTCTGTCTCTGCAGTCGAAGTGTCGGCGTCTTCCATCTGAACCGACTGTGTCTCCGGCTGCTCAGACCCATCTTCATCCCGCGTTACTTCGCTTGATGTCATACTAGCATCATCTGGATGCTCGGGGACCACCACTTCAGCTCGGCTCGGCGAGGTGGATGGCGGGCCACGCGCTTGAATCTCATACTGTGGGATAGGGTTCCTGGAAACACCTGGACGGGCCTGGTTCTTGCAGTACTCATTTGCCATGTTGAAGTTGTCGCAGCAGCGATACAGGGCTTCTTCGGCCAGGCTCTCCTCGTGTCCGTTTTCCTTCAGACGCGGCAAGTGGTCTCCATTCCTAGCAGACCAAGGCTTGATGATAGGCTTGCTACGCTTTGGAATCTTGTCGATACTCTTCCACGCTCCGTGCTCGCCTTCACACTCAAGAACAGATTTTAGAATATTGATAGACGTCTTCACAATTGACGTGGTTGCTTTATCGATGAGATCCGAATTCCAAATCTTCTCGACAGGAACAATCACAGCGTACCGGAGCTCGACGAGGAATTGTGCAGTCAAGAAATAGTCAGACCGCTCCCGATCGCGATCTGGCCGGGTTTGCATGGATGACGTCTGCGGAGACTCTGAGATTACCTTGAAGTTAATGATCTGAGAGTAAAAGGCCAAAATAATCTTGATGCCTCCAAGCGACAGGTTGAGCAGTCGCTTCGTCTCCTCGCTGGTGGTGTCGTCCATCTGCTTCAAGGTAAGCTTGAGCGCCGATTGGTAGAATTGGTTGAGAATGTTCGCTAGAACATCGAATCCACCTAGGTTGCGGAAAGATACGAGTAGCAGCGTCAAAGCTTGTGATCGATCAAGGTTTGGCTCAACGATGAGCTGCGACAAGGATGTCAGGATGACAATCCAGTACGCATACCGGTCTTCAATGATCTCCGATTCTTTCGGACCCTCGTATTCGAGCTGATCGATGACGGCCTGAGCAAGTTGGTCTGACACAACAGTAGCACATTGCCTCTGGTAAGCCTCCAAGCTGCGGCGGAACAAGAGGAGTTTACCAAGCGACTGGAAGAACGGTGCAACCTCGGTAGGTATTCTGCTAAGCAGATTGCGGAGAGTCTGCGTGTTCTTGAATTGCGCACTATTCTGGCTCGCGACAGGGTTCTCTGAGGTCGAGCCAGGAGCAGCAGCGTCACCGTTGCTTGGCGATTCGGTAGCACTGTTTCCAATTCGGAACACATTGTCGGCTTCGTCGTTTCCGAAGCCTGAGCTAGTGATACGGGTCTCCTTCTCCCATTCTGTAGGCATGTTACGCTGTAGTAACAACTCCTCCCATACACAGCTTCGATGTAATCTTCCGAGGCTATCCACGAGACGTGCATACACATCGGCGAGATTGACTTGGCTAGACACATTGTGCGAAGAGCGGGTAGTATACATCTGGCTCTGGAATGTTAAGGTCATAGCTCCGACGAGAGTATGGGCAGAAACTAGGGCTTTGACGTATTGTGTGCCTCGTTGCAAATTCTCAGTGTTCTGGGAAGTACCAGAACTGGTAAAAGGTGCGAAGAAAGCCTGCTTGCCGGTGTGGTCGAGGAGAGGCTGCAAGTGCTCCAAGGCTGCTTGTGTACGTTTGATCAGAGATGGCACTGCGATATGCGGCTTCTGCTCGACGAGTACTTGGACAACATGGCCGAATTGCTCACACATGCTGCGGTACTCACTTGCCTTTGGATCTAAGCAGGCAAGGCTTGAGATGTCAAGAATCTTGTCTACACCATCGAGCTCGACGTACGCAGCGCACATGGCGTGATTTGAGAAGAATCCAGAGAGGAAGCGGCACAGAACGCGGATGTATTGACCGGTAGTAGGGCCCTTGGTGCTGTCTTCGGTCTCAGTGATTTGGTCGTAAGCGACTGGTTCGTTAGCAGTGTCATCAGCATCCTTCATCTCTACGTCGGTAGCTGTAGATTCCGAAGCTTGGGCTGTGCTCTGCTGAGAGCGTGGCCCAGAAAGGGCTTGGCGGCCGCCAGCGACGGTCAGCTTACCAGCGGCGTCCTCGGACCAAAGCTTAGCTCCTACACCTTCCTTGTCGGCCTTCTCGGCGCAGAGTTGAACCACGCGCGCTATCAATTCGCTGAGACATGAAAGAACACGTGCCTTCAGAGGTGGGTGATGGCGCACCAGCTCATCGAAAGAGTTTCCGATCAAGGTAGGCATCTCGGTATCAGCATCAAGTGCTTTTATATGGGCAGGACTCTCGAAAATCTCAAAGAATCGCTCAAGTGCGATTGATGACTGAAATAACTTCATACCAGCCTCAGCTAAGCAGATGCCGTCGAAGGCCGGTGGTAAAGTCGAAATGGCTTCGGCGACAGGCAAGATACCCTCCGCAAGTGACTTTCCAGCTTCTCGTGGAGGATATGTCGATGGTGTTGAAGCACTCACATCAGCGTTGGCTGCAGCGATTGCTTCTGAAGCGGGCTCTCCAGCCACAGTCTCCAGGAACGCATCGCTAAGACCCGCCTCGGCGATGACTTGATAGCTAGTGGGCTCATTGTTGATGAAGCTGGTGAGGATTGTGACAGCCATACTCCAGACAGTTGAGCCAAACGTCTTGGCATTGGATAGCACAGTGCGCAAGCTGCTGAGCAGCTGTTGCGAGTCAAGCAAGTTTCGCATCAGGCGATCGAAATTTCCGCCTGTATGCGACATCATATGGTTGAGGAACTTGAAAAGCCAGCGTAGACTCTGCTGGTGGTAGAACGGAATTTGATAATCAGTAAGCTGCGTCTTGTACTCCTTGGGCATGCCCTTGTCCTCTTCTGCGAGCTTCTTAGAAGTGTCGACCTCGTATTGCATCAGATCAGCGATGATTTCAAGTCCCTTCGCGGCTACAAGGGCTGAGAAGGCGTCGCGCAGGTTATAGACGAATGTGTCAAGGAAGTTGAGAATCTTAGGGTGGTTGCGTTCTGCCTTAGCGGTACGCAGCTTGAGGACATCGACTAGAATCTCCAGAAGACCAGCGGCCACCATCTGCTCACCAGTGCGCGTTTGAGAAGTAGGTAGAGTGTTCAGAAGAGAGAACAAAGCATCGCGCCACTCATCTTCTTCGACATCATCAGGGTTACCTGTCTCTTCGCCAAGTCCAGCGACGAGCTTGCGCACAACGTAGAAAAGTACACCATGGTTAACGTTGACGCTGAGGGCGGTACAAACATCAGGCGCTTTCGACTTGTGCTTTGCGAGCGCCTCAAGAGCGCTCATGGCGTAAGTCTGCAATTCTGTCGAGATTCCAGTCTCACCGTTGCCTGGCGGATGGACCAGCTCAGAGAGCTGGTAGGCAAGTTGTAACCGGCGTGGCTCATCTGCATCTTGCTGACCCAGCTTTGCCATGAACTCCTTCTCGACATGTACGTAGCCAATGTTTGCGATGGATAGAAGACGGATGGCGACTGCACTGTCGCGCCCTGCGTGTCCCTCGTGAAACATCTTCGCGGTGCGAAGCTTGTGGAGGAATTCGTATTGGGCTGTTTCCGGTAGACGTGCTAGTCCTTCCTTAATAAGGTCGTGGATGTCGGTCTTGACCACCTTCTCGGCTGACAGCTCGAAAGTCTTGGGCCCATTCGTTGTACTACTGGGTTGTCCGGGTGTGAAGACTGGCGTGCTCGGTGAATCGGTAGCGGGCGGAGGCTGAGGCTGTCGCGGTGTTCGGTTAGGGTTCATGCTTGACGTCCTTCGCACTGGAGTCGGTGTTGTGGGTGCGGGTGTGTCTATGGAAGCCGATTTGCTGCTCTCTGCTTCGGACGAGGGAGTGGGTTCATAGTACGAGATGAGGACGCCTCCGAACTCCTGCTTCATCGATGCTTCGGACATGGAGTACATGGCAACGAGATCAGATGGACTAATCTTATCAGTGCTGCCAGCGCGCTCCTTGCCTTTGCCTGCTGGTGTGCCGAACACTGGTACTGCTGTGGCGGGGCCTTTTGCGAATGGGCTGGCCAGCTTCTGGACCTTGTCGAGATTGATGTTGTAGTGGCTGGAGAGAAGAGATGGGTGGAGGGTGGCCGGAGCCAGGCGCATGCGTGCGGCGGCGTAGCGCTGAGCGAGTCGATGACCTAGACGAAGCGTAGCTTTGAGAAGAGATGTGGAAGTCGTGTTTAGTAGCTTGTCCAAGCGCTCGCTGCTAGAGTACAGACTACGATTGCCGCAGTTCTCCAAGAGCATGCGCGTGAAGTTGAGGATCTGCTCGATCAGCTCGCGATCGCCATCCTGTGATACGTGCAGGGTATCCAGGACAGCATCGGTTGTAGTCTGCTCCGAGCTGGTGCTTCCTTCCTCGACATCGCCCTTGAGCAGTAGTCGGCGCTGGAAGGACTGCGTCTGCGGTCCGTCTGCCAGGCCATACTCCTTATTGAACAGCTCGAGGATGTGGTCGAAGCGGTTGAGGGCGGGGATCCAGTGATATGCGTCACCGCGGGGAAAGGGCCAGTGCCTAGGGAAGGAGGCGAGATGTGCGGGCAGCTGGAATAGCGGTATTGACTCGGTTGCCTTGACGAAGTCTGCTATCATCGGCGACTGCGGTGGTCTGTTAGTAGTGGCGAGACATGGCAAAGGATGCTCAACTTACCAGAGTCGACTCATGTCGCGATGTAGCCTGTTTCTTGATCTTCATGTTTGCGCCGGGCGCTCGGAAGGCGAAACTTGCTCACATGCAAGCTCTATGAAGCTGGTCTCTAGTGAGTAGCAGTTGTGTGCAGGCAGTCGAGTGACACGGCGAGAGATGCGTGACGCGGGAGGCTGTCTAGAGGTAGGCTGCGACTGCCTTTACCGGAAGCGCAGAAACCCAAGGTGGCTACGTTTTAGTGGAGCGAAAAGCGGGGTCTTGATGATGTATGTTGGCGTCGTATCCACACACAAAAGCGGTCGTAGCGAGATGTAGGTAATGCTTGTGAGCGGGCGGGTTGGCGGAGAAGAGGCGTAGGTGGGTAGGTCGCTGTTAGATACCACGGTGCAGGCGCGGATCTGGGACAGCTAGTTGGTCGCTTATTGGCGGAATGCAAGTGCCAAAGGCTGGTTAGCGGCAGCCTCTATATCGGTGGTAGAGCGGGTGGGTGAGGTGTAGTTGTTGTGGGAGCTGTAGCTGTGAGCACTGCAAGTCGCAGTTTCCGCAATGATGGAGACATGGTCCGTGCCCGCTGATCCGAGCTTAGAGCGTCACGAAAGCGACGCGCTGTCGTCAGTGACTCTTCGGACGATATGACGATCATGAATGCGCTGGGGCGGGCTACGACATTCACGGGACGATAACACTATCTCCTTGTACCATCAAGCATGAGCTTAGCTAGCGGATATCCAAGGATATCACGACCAAGCACTTGCACCACCAGAAAGCATTGCATCCACGACACAGAGACGGTAGGTGAAATGGTATTATATATTACTCGATATCAAATCATAAGTCACAAGAAAAGCCTTGGCAAGACTTCCAGTACAACAGCTCGATCATCCACCACAGGTCAGCAAAACACAACGATACCTCCCAAGCCTACCTGCGAAACCACCCACTCGTCCCACTCGCATTCTCTTCCCTCCTCTCCCCACCCCCATTCCTCCTATCCTCTGCCTTCCCATCATCAACCAATCTGACAGTCTCCTCCAGCACCAACAGGTCCCTCTCAATCATCTCCGCCCAATTCTGAATATCCCCCACCTCATTCAACTTCTTTGTGCCCCCTTGTAGCAACTTATCCCACTCGGCCGTTTGTTTCGCGAGCGCCGCCGTCTGCTTCGCCAGCTCCTTTTCTTGCTTGGATATAGCAGCCGAATTGGCGTGTAGGTCCGCTGTTCGCGTGCGCATTTCATTGTCAACGCTGGCGCCGACGGAGAGCAGGGATGCGGTTACGGCGGCGCGGGCCTCGTTTTGGCGACGAGCAGCTTCTTCTGGAGATGGAGGTGGGGAAGAAGGCATATTGGTGGTGTTGACGTTCACGGAGTGGGTAGATAGCGTAGGCTTGTTGAGGAGTGGTAAAGTAAGTTGTCTTGATGTGCTGAACGTAAAATGGTTTGTATGCTCTGTTGGTTAGAACAGCTACCTGCCCAGCGAATGACGATCCGCGAACTACTGCGTAACTCCACCGTAGTAAGACTGCCTAGTCTCGCTCCAATCATTCCTCATACTGTGAAACGTAGTGGAACATGTTGATTGGTGACTCGGTCGTCTACCGGGTGGTTCCAAAGGCCGCTTCCAGCTCACTGCGTGATGGTGTAACGGGGCTCGATGTGAATGGCCGAAGAAAGTATTCAATATATGGTCATGCCTTGTGCAACGGCAGTTCCCTACTCTACTCCATCTCTGACACGTGTACAAGGCTAGCAGGCACGTTGTGCGGCGTGACCACGGAAACTTACGACTGGACAGCGGGGTAGCAGCGAGCAGCAGCAGCTTGGTTTGATAGAGTATTAGGCATTGGCTCCTGATACCGCGGTTTTTTCTGTCTGCATGAGTATGGACGGAGACGTTTGCTGCTGACGTGCTTTCCTATTTGCAGTGTTAAATGTATCGGGCGTTAGTCGTTGTACTCCTGATGCTTAAGGGAGAACGGCGAGCGGGGGTTAGACAACAGTCCGGGGAAACGTGCTGTAAGCTTCATGAAATAGACACGCATATCCTCTCTGTCGTGCATTAAGCCTGGAAGAAGCTATCTGCCTATGATAGACGCCCAAAGTTGCTGCGGCGATTCATCCAAGGCGGGGTGGGGTGCCTACTGTGGGGCCTGGTCGGGGAAGCGCAGCGCAGTCGATGGGGGTACAATCAACACCTTATCAGTAGTTGCCAATTCAGGAAATAGTCAAGTTGAGGCAAGTGTAACCGAAGCCCTTAGAGAAATAGACTCGTCACTACAATTTTGTCCTTCAGGCTCTTCATCGTCGGACAAGTCCTTTGCGCTTTCCGTGGACTAGGTTCCTTGCCGCCGTGAAAACTCAAGAACAAAAATCACTTATTAATGGAACGCACGATGCACGAGGTACGTATTGGGCCCAATTCGATAGATTCGTAAGATGTAAAACACGTAACCAAAGAGTGTGAAAGAGAGTAAAGAAAAAAAAGGTCATGAGATTCCCACGCGACCGGATAAGAACAAAGTGATCCAGCCACACAAGTATCCAGATATCGCACCCAAACCGAAAGACTCGACTTATGCCGCAATCTCCTTAGCAACACGCTTGACAACATCCTCAACAGCGGCAGCTGCCTTCTCAGCCTCGCGCTTCGCATTCCTAGCCTTGATCTTTGCCTGCGCACCCTTAATCTGCTGGACCAAGAATTCAACACCCTCGTTCGCCCTAACACCGTATGTCAAGTGAGCAGGCAAGACGCTCAGCGTACCCAGGCAGACGGCGTCACCAGGCTGGCAGATGATCTTGACCTTCTCCTTGGGGAAGTTGGGGATTTGGTCGCGGTCCTGAAGCTTCTGTGTGTCACCGTAGGTAACAACGCCAGCGATTTGGTCCATGACAGCAGCGTCGAGCTCCTCGATAGCGCGGTGGTTGACAGCAGCACCTTGACTGTAGCCCGAGGATACGATAACGGAGTCTGGGCACTTCTGGGCCATGCTGTTGAGAGTGTCCTTGAGGAGGTTCTTGGAGCGTGTGTCGGTGCCGCCGGGGAGGACGTTGGTGCCGATTGAGGCGGCATAGGGAATGCCTTCAGTGGCGACTGCATCTTGACCGAACTCTTTCTTGAGGCCGTCAGAGGTAGGAGGGCCGACTACGGTTCCCATGTTGCCGATCTCGGTGGAGCCACGGGCGAATGCGAAGAGAATATCTCTGCATCCACCTCGGCTGAACTCACTCGAGCTGGAACCGGTGCCACCGAAGAGCTGGCGGCTTTCCAGAGGGGCTGCAGCGGCAAAGCCAGCAAGGGCAGCAACGAGGATGGATTGGGCGTGCATGGTGTTGTTTGTTGAAAGTGTGGTGTAAAGTGTGGTGGAAAGTGTGGTGGGAAGTATGTCTGATATTGACAATAATGTGAAGAAGAAGCGAAGAAGATAGTAGCGAATGTAAGCACCGGGCCTGTAGTGTTGGTGACAGTGTTGACTGATGATTTTCAACTGAGGCTGGCGTCCTACCTTCTTATAATCCTATGTCGTTCGGCCAGACTTGGAACCAAGCTCGTCTAGCCATGACGATGATCAGGTATGCGAGCAAGGGCATTGCCCAAGGCGCTGCCAAGGTATCATTGGACTCATTGATCAAGCGGAAACAACCGCCAACTGAGAGAGCAGCCGAGGAAGGTATTCGTCAACTAGAGATACGATTGGTCCATTCCGTGTCAATGTATTGCCAGGAGGGAAGTCCAGTGTCATGGAACTGCTACCAAGCGATGCCAAGTTGGTTGCGTTCTCCGAGAGGCATGGTGGAGATGGGGTATGGAGGGATAGTAGTCCATCGTTGAGCCTCTGCGCCCCAAACAACGTACGGAATTAGCCACTTAGGACCTGAAGGTGATCCGACTACCGAAAAAACACTCTCACCGTCAATGCGCTTGGACCTTACTTTTTGGCTACCCTGGCTGATCCTGCTACAGGGCAGCGACTCGCGCGAGGGTGTTCCTAGTGCGTCCGCAACGTGCCTGCCGTGCCTCGGTATGTTGTAGACAACATTGCTGATCATTGGCCATAGCGACGTCTGTCTACGACCTGTCAGTGTAAGAAGTTGAGCTGACAAGAGAACGGCTGTCGCGAAATGACGGAATGACTTCATCGCAAGCAATGCAAGAGTCGAGCCTGGTATCATGCAAGCGTGTAGTCCGGAAAAGGGGAGCATTTTGGACAGTACCACACTGACGAGTATACGGGAATTATGCCCGTCTCTAAGAACGCTTTCGAGCGGAAATAAGCTTTCGTACATTCACAACGTGGTATAGGGTTGATCGACGTGACGGGTGCGTCCCGCTATGGACCGTGTGCTAATTTAGTTTTGACTACATGCGCCTGACGCTCTTAGCCGTTTCAGCTCGGGACGTGATGCAAAAAGCAAGCGCACCAAAGATGGTCAGACACTGGCAACACCAACATCGCATGTTCACCGTTGTGAGTGGAAATCTCCGAACCTGGGAACCATGCCATGATGTCTTTGATCGCAACATCTGGCCAATGGAGGAATCTGTTCGCGAAGGTACTCCAATAAATGAGCGTGTTTGGTGTACGCGATGCTCTCCGGTCGAGTAAGTACGGCGAACTTCGCCTACGCTGATGGCAGTCTGTTGTCCGCACGCTTCAGACATTGCAAGTATAGCCCGTCCGCGACGTACTGATTTACTGATCGCCTATGCAGCCTGCGTATACGAGCCGATTCCTTGCACCCTTCTGTGCACGGGTTTTTCGAGAAGCCTTGGAAGTAAAAAGCATAGGTACAACCTCAGTCATTGTACGACGTTAATGCTGAAATCCTAGTAATTGGCTGGCCCATGATTGCTCTGTAACCTCGTTCATCCGCAGCACCCGGCAGGGCGGGATGACTCGCATGGAGCGGCGCGATCGTTTCGAACTTCAGCCTTGCATCTGCCGACGAGTCGTTCTATGCCTGAGGTTTTGTCAATATGACTCGAATAGGAAAGGTGGTCGATTGTGATGGACACAGCGATTCTCGCGTTCGCTTCTCCAGACCGAT